ACACCCCCTAAAAGACGAGGCCGTATGCTGAGATTTTTGCGTCACCAGCAAAAGCCAACGCTGGACATGGATTGGAAACAAGTGCTTCGTCAGCGCTTGGCTTCGAATCAAGTTCGAGTCGAACGTTGACACAATTGTCGTGTCCAATTGGTGACCAAAGTTGGCCTTTGCTGATGATGGCATCTCTATCAACACTACGGCTTTGCCGTCTAGGAGGTGTTGTAACCAGGCGCCTTCGGCCACCAGAGAGAGGGGAAGACTGACTTCACGTACAAGCCACGTATCAGAAGCACTGGTATATACTTAGTTCAGTTGCATGCGCTCTCGTTCATCCCTTACTTGTGGCGCAGGGCGAAGATGCTGGTCTTCGGATTTCATTCTCCGGGTTCGATTCCCTCTGAGCTTCTCGGTGAATCTCACTGGTTTAGATCTCGCGTTCCTTGTTATGATCATTTTAGGACTAATATTCAGTGCGCTTTGGAGGCTCGTGCACGGCCTGCTGCGGGCTATGCATCCTTTGTGTTGCTTTGGTATACGTGTAATGCGTTTTTGTCACATCCGAGAGTTATACTTGTCCATAAAATCCAGCCATTGAACACACTCCGAGTTAAAATATGTCGAACGAAAGGTTGTTAAAGGCCTACAACAACATTTTTTTTTTAAAAATCAACGCTCCCCCCAACAATGATCTCTCCAGCCAATGAAGGCTGAAAAGGTGGTTATAAGTACTTGGCGAGGGAGCGGGCCGTCGCGAAAATATTGCGCTGAAAAAATATTTCGGGCGGAAGCTTTCTACCTTGCCTAGGTTCTTTAAAAAAAAAAGCTTTCTTAGAAGTTTCGCACTCTTTTAAGAGCCAGCCAATTCTTGCGTACTTATTTACGCGTCCGAATTCCACTTCGGCACTTCTATTTCAAATGATACTACGGTTTTGAATATAGACTCTAGAATATTAGCCAACGTAAGGAGCGGTTAATTTAGGTTTCCTGTTGAGCCGCGGTTCACTAACCCCAACCTTTGCAGCAAGATCTCTTGTAGAATGACACCGCTCGAGTTAGAACGAGCTTGGATTGAGGGCCTAAATTCGTTGTCGTCCAAAGCTGGGGAAAACGGTGCTTTCGGTGAGCACGAGCTTCGTTTGCCCCTAAATCCGCCGGTGGCGCACGCAAGTCGGGTACCGAGGAGTGGGGATTTAGAAATCGGCGGTTGCGTTTCGCAGAAAACCAGGAGTTGGAAATGCACAAAAACGAAAATGTACCATAGGATTGGTTAGAGTGGGCATGTTTTGAAGCTCTAGACCGAATAAAGTTTACACAATAAAACACAAAACAAACTAACGATATAGGGTGACTCGTAAATGTGTAATAGCGTGCGTGAATGCGTTTGTATGTGTCTATTTGTGTGTGTGATAGAGAGAATATTCATATTAAAAATAGCGCAAAAGAGACGGGACAAAAAGACGAAGAAGCACACAGGACAAACGCTAACTGGCAACTAAACTTTATTGAAAGCTTCCAACTTTGCTATCGCCATGCACGTGCATAGTCTCATTCAACAGACAGGGCGTAGCGCCAAATCCGCACAATCATACCGCCCACCGCCTGTTCCAAAAAGTCAGCAAAACAGCTACATCACCCCGCCGCAATATCCGAACGAGAAAAGAATAGAAAAAACGCCGCGTTAATATTGTCAAGTTAGACAGTGTTAATGAAATGGTACTCTTTCTGCTGCATACACACCGATGCGACGCTTATGCAAACGTCTTTGTCACAATCACGTATTTTCGCTGCCTCCAGCAACTCTCGTTCCCTCCTTCCTTTGTTTCGTCCCTCCACCTTCGCACCGTCCAGCTTGGGGGAACAACCACAAGTTCTACAATGCTCCGGTAAGTGGGAACCGTAATTGTTGCCAAGAGAAGCCGCATGCTCTCGAAGTCGATCATTTAAGCAACGTCCCGTCTGCCCTATGTAAACACGGCCACACGTTAGAGGAATCCTGTAAACCACCTCAGTGGCACAAGGTACAAACTTTGTCACGTGTTTCTTGCTACACACAGGTTTCTTCACTTTCGGCCCGCTCACCATAGCGCACAATTTTGACAATCTGCACGGGGCAGTGAAGACAACGTCCACGTCATGCCCCGTGCAGATTGTCAAAATTGTGCGCTATGGTGAGCGGGCCGAAAGTGAAGAAACCTGTGTGTAGCAAGAAACACGTGACAAAGTTTGTACCTTGTGCCACTGAGGTGGTTTACAGGATTCCTCTAACGTGTGGCCGTGTTTACATAGGGCAGACGGGACGTTGCTTAAATGATCGACTTCGAGAGCATGCGGCTTCTCTTGGCAACAATTACGGTTCCCACTTACCGGGGCATTGTAGAACTTGTGGTTGTTCCCCCAAGCTGGACGGTGCGAAGGTGGAGGGACGAAACAAAAGAAGGAGGGAACGAGAGTTGCTGGAGGCAGCGAAAATACGTGATTGTGACAAAGACGTTTGCATAAGCGTCGCATCGGTGTGTATGCAGCAGAAAGAGTACCATTTCATTAACACTGTCTAACTTGACAATATTAACGCGGCGTTTTTTCTATTCTTTTCTCGTTCGGATTGTGCGGCGGGGTGATGTAGCTGTTTTGCTGACTTTTTGGAACAGGCGGTGGGCGGTATGATTGTGCGGATTTGGCGCTACGCCCTGTTTGTTGGATGAGACTAAGCACGTGCATGGCGATAGCAAAGTTGGAAGCTTTCAATAAAGTTTAGTTGCCAGTTAGCGTTTGTCCTGTGTGCTTCTTCGTCTTTTTGTCCAGTCTCTTTTGCGCTATTTTTAATATGAATGTCCACTACCAACTTGCAAAGCAGACCAAGCTTTTACTATATGATAGAGAGAAAGAGAGAGAGAGAGAGAGAGAGAGTGCGTGTGTTCGGCTGCATAGCACAACTCACCAGTTCATCTGCGGCCTCAGCATCACTTTCTTAAGATACATCCTGAAACTGACATTTTTAGGAATTTCTGGCATGGCCGGTCATGCTGTTCCAAAGTCTGAGTTAAGATTGATTCTTAACTCAAACTTAACAAATTAAGATTGATTCTCTTTCAAGTGGCTTGCTTGCTTGCTTGCTTGCTTGCTTGATTGCTTGCTTGCTTGATTGATTGATTGATTGATTGATTGATTGATTAAATAATTGATTGATTGATCGATCGATTGATTGATTGATTGATTGATTGATTCATAGCTATATTTCTTGAGATTGACATTGGCGGGGTAAACATGTCTTACAGCAATGGCGGTTATGGGCTTTGCCCACCACTGGAAATGACTTTCGTTGTTGATGTTGTAGTGGTAGGTGTTGAAGTTGTAGTAAATGTAGTAGTTTTAGTAGTTCTAGTAGTTGTAGTAGTTAGCGTTTTTGGCCATGTAGGTGTCCGTCGTCGATGTTGCCAAATCCTCAAAACAAATCTCCCGCCGCCCGGGACAATCGAACTGGGGTCCCCTGCGTGCAAAGCGGAAGCAGAGCTCCATACTTGGGGCTTTTGTAGTACCCGATGTCCTCTGCACGCGCTCTGGAAAAACAAAATTGCCGATAACAAAATGTTGTCGTAGCACTGTGAATGCGAAAAGCTCGTGCCGGGAAACGCGCTTTCACGCTCCGGAACAAATACAGAAACAAAGGCTTTTAAAACAAAGTGATAAGAAGTTTTTTTTTTTTTTTTTTTTTTCGAACGGGTATGTTCACGCGTGGCGTGAACGCGACGCCAATGCCCAACGACTTTACCGTGACGCTACTAGTAAACTGTAGTGACGCGTCGCAGCTGTCGCTGTGACTGCACTGTGGATTGACACCTGACTGCTTAATTTTTCAAAGTGTGTACGGAAAACCAGAAAGGCAATCCCATGTCAAGGCAGGAACGCAAAATGCATTCCTGCAAGGATGCATGCGTAAATAATTTTGATGAAAAGTTTTAGCGAGGAAAATCGGGAGATCGACAGTATCAGTATATACAGCGCCAAAAAACGACAGGACAAAGAGGAGAGTAAACAGGACGAGGCGCACTCGCAACTAAAGTTTATTTAGGAAAAAACACATAATATATAGGCCTTATATACAGTATTCTTCAAAAAATTTCAGAAAATAGATAAAAACGTGAACATGATAAGCTAGGTCTGGAGTTTGTTCAGCTGTCGTTGCCTACACACGTTGTTTCACGAAAGGTGGACAAATTCGATATTTCAAAAACTACGTGTCGCATCAAAAGAAGGATTCTGTCGTTTTAGTCCTGGGCCAGGGCCCATTTAGGAAAATTATTAAAGTCCGGGACAATTTGATTGTTAATTATTTTCGTGCAATTAATTTTTTAATATTGTGTTTAAGGGCATGGTTTCAATTAGAAAATTGCTCAACATCATCGAAAAACACTAAATCAACAAATTGCAAAACGATAAAAGCCACGCGAAGCATTTTACGGCTTTCTGAAGAACCACACAAATTCGACGGGTTTTTAGGTTTCGGTTTGCAATCGGAGAGCATCTCGGCCCCGACGGCACAGCGCCCCGTGGAGAAATAGTGCAACCAACCTCTGCTCCGCTGTCCTCGCGCCATGCAGGAGAGGCTGGTAGCACTGCTTTTCCACGGGACGCGGTTCCGTCGGGACCGAGATGAGCTGCGGTTGCAAACCGAAACCTAAAAACCCGTCGAATTTGTGTGGCTTTTCAGAAAGCCGTAAAATGGTGTGCGTGGCTTTTATCGTTTTGCAATTTGTTGACTTAGTGTTTTTCGATGATGCTGAGCAATTATCTAATTGAAACCATGCCCTTAAACACAATATTAAAAAGTTAATTACACGATAATAATTAACAATCTAATTATCCCGGACTTTGATAATTTTCCTAAATGGGCCCCTGGCCCAGGATCAAGCCTTTTTTTGATGCGACGTGTAGTTTTTGCAATATCGAATTTGTCCACTTTTCATGAAACACCCTGTATAGTTGAAGGGACGTTCGTCCAGGACCAGTGAACCCGACGGATGCATCCTGGTTGCGGGAGACCCAGTGGCGGAGTCCCGCAGGATCCTCGAGGAGCAGGAGCAGGTCTCCAAGGTGCTACGCTACGGAGCCAGGGTGGCCCTGGACGAGGGACTCATCGACGTCGACACCGAAAGGCAGTTCCGCATGTCCAGTAAGTGTACCCCGCATCTACCTGGGACAGCACGCGCTGGTGCACCCGAAGAAGGCGCCATTGCCGACAGCTCCGAAAAATGACTGGGCCACGTTGCATTGCAGATGTCCATACCATCTTGGACCGAGCACTCAGGCTGTCGAAAGCCGCGCCGCATAGGATCATCTGTGTCGTCAGGCAATTCGATGGTGAGCTTGTTGTGGTGTTGACTGTGTTGTCTGTTGGTTTTCGGGTGAAGAAGGCACATCAGTAAAAACTGATGGAGGTTCGTTACCCGTTTTGTGGCACAATTTTGTTCACTCTTGTATGTCAAGTGTAGTGATACGAAGGCGTAGGCGTTTTATTTGTATAGAATTCACGCTCACGAAGAACTTGAAAAAATCTGTGTGTCGACTTGCTCTGCAGACCATTCGGAAAGTCATGCGACAATTGAGAAAGCATGCGGATCACCGTAATTGTTTTCATCAAATAATTAATACTGTTTCATCCTTAAAAGGGCAAAGTTGAAGTCGGTTATTTTTAGTGTTGGTGAGGACTTCTGCATTTCCACTCGAACCTCGCGCAAGAAACTGCTCGAATATGGGAAAGCTAGTAATCAGCAGTTTTCAATTCGCTACAATAAGTTGTACATCAACAGAAAATGCTTCATCTATTGTCCCTCATCAGACAGTGTCTGTGAATTATACGCCAACAAGGAATCACCTGCTCACGCAAGTCAAAATTCGAGTAATGTCGTAGACAATGAAGTACCATTATCGTAACTATCACGTAACAGCGTAATTCCCGTTAGTAAAATTTCTTTTCTTTTTTTCAAATATCCGCAGTGTCGTTAACAAACGAGAGGAACTGTCAGCATTAATCGACACGTGTAGCGCCGATGTAATAATACTAACTGAAACGTGGTTGTCTGTCAAAATTGATAACAAAAGAGGTTTTTGAGTGTGAGAAGACTTTTAATATTTATCGGCCTGATCGCGTCAATAGATTGGGAGGAGGTGTATTAATAGCCGTCGCAGAAAATCTGCACTCTTATCATATCTCTCATGCATCATGCTTGGAAATGGTATGCGTGTGTGTACGCATTAATCACCGTGATATGATATTTTGTGCCTGTTATCGGCCACCAAACGCTTCCTTGACTTTCTGTGCACAACTTCATGACGTTTTAAACAGCATTGTTGTCAGAGTTCCGCACTCGCCAGTTTTTTTATTAGGTAATTTAACTTTCCAAAAATATTATGGTCTGGTATGTGCCCTGTTCCGTCTGACATTTCCGGTGAAACATCTGAGTTCATAAATTTGTGCACAGATTTTAATTTCTCTCAGTTAATAACTCAAACCTACCAGGGTCACCGCGTCAAGCTCGAACATATTGGATCTCGTCCTCACAACTACTCCTGACCTCGTTCATTCTCTAAATTTTTTACCAGGCCTGAGTGACCACTGCTTTGTTCACTTCACACTTGACGGCAATTCTCGTTGCCTTAAGAGTATGCCTAGACGTATACGCGATTACAGCAAAGCTAACTACCCTGCCATCAATGATGAATTGGCACAATTTCTGGACGAATATATGCAGAATTTTTCTAATCGCACTATAGAATCCAATTGGTCTATTTTTAAAGTCAAAGTCAATTATCTTGTAAACAAATACGTACCGCTACAAATTATCCCATACAAAAACCTGTCCCCTTGGTTTACTGTTTCTTTAAAGCACCTGCGAAATAAAAAGAAACGACTGTTCCGCAAAGCAGTTCAATAAACCTGACTTGTGGTGTGCGTATCAGAATGTTGCAACCCTCTTTAAGAATGAAGTGGAAAAAGCCAAAAACATATTTTTCAATGATACCCTACCATCCTTATTGACAAATGATACTAAGAAATTTTGGAATATAATTGGTGGACAAAAAGAGAGTCTGATATCGCTAGTCGACGATAATGGTGTCTCAGTCCCTAGGTCGGAATGTTCATCTTTACTAAATTATGTGTTTTCAGTCTTTTTTGTCACTGTCTTTTGTTTCTTGCCCTGAATATGATCTTGCAGCCTTTCCACTTATGGATCCTGTTATAATTGATTGCATTGGTGGGCTTAGCATAATAAAAAATTTGAAAGTTTCTTCTTCATCTGGAATTGACGGAATTAATTCTTAATTTCTGAAGAATACTGAAATGTTCTCTTCTGTAATACTATCTAAACTTTTCTCGCAGTCCCTAGATCTTTGTTTGTTGCCCAGCGATTGGAAGGTGGGTAAGGTGGTACCTTTGTTTAAATCAGGTGATGCTCACTCTCCTCTTAATTACAAGCCTATATCTTTAACTAGTGTCCCATGTAAAATGTTGGAGCATATCATCTAATCTAACCTAGTTAACTTTCTTGAATCCAACTCATTTTTCACATATCGTCAGCATGGTTTTCGTAAATCATACTTATGTGAAACGCAACTGGTTTGTTTCACGAACGATGTTTTCTCTACGCTAGACAATAATCTTTCAGTCGACTGCATATTTCTTCATTTTTCGAAAGCCTTTGATTTAGTCCCTCACCAACTCCTCTGCTTAAAATGAAAAAAAACCAAAAAACTAAACATTGACTCTAACATTCTTGCATGGATCGAAAATTTCCTCTCTAACAGAACACAGTTTGTATCTGCAAACGACTCAGACTCTCTTCCCTGCCCTGTTAATTCGGGTGTGCCGCAAGGTTCCGTCCTCGGCCCCCTTCTTTTCCTCATATACATAAATTACCTCGTTAACAATGTCCAGTCATCCATAAGGTTGTTTGCAGATGATTGTGTCATTTATCGTGTAATCTATTCTGATACTGATACGTCTTTTCTTCAGACTGACCTTAGTTCCATTACTAACTGGTGTGCCGTCTGGAAAATGGGCCTTAATGCCAGTAAATGTAAAGTAATGAGAATTTCACGGAAAGCTGCCTGTACTAACTTTCCTCAATACAACATTGGTTCTGCTCTTGAACAGGTGACATCATACAAGTACCTAGGTGTCCATATAACATCTGACCTCTCCTGGCAAACTCACATTAATTTTATTGCTAACAACGCTAATCGCATGCTAGTTTACTTACGCCGCAACTTCTCAAGGGCTCCTTCATCATTAAAACTACTACTGTACAAGACCCTCGTTAGATCTAAGCTTGAGTATGCGAGTTCGGTGTGGGACCCAGGCCATGAATTTCTAATTAATCAAATTGAATCCGTACAAAATCGTGGCGCACGTTTTATTCTGTCTAATTTCTCACGTTTTTCCAGTGTATCATCCATGAAACTAACTTTACATTTTCCGAATCTTTCATTGCGTAGAAAATTATCTTGTTTGTCCTTATTTCACGAACTTTATCATCACAACCAGCATCTAAGTAAAGAGCTTTTTTCTGAACCATCGTATGTATCCCATCGAAATGATCATCACCATAAAGTCAACGTTCCTTTCAGTCGCACGGAGCTCTTTTTTGATTCTTTTATCCCAAGAACTACTAATGACTGGAACCACCTGCCCACCTCCATCGCCACAATCACAGACGCTCCTGCATTCAAGTCTGCCATTGAAAACTATTATGTTAACTAATATGTGTTGAATTCTATTTTTTGTACTTTTGTTTTTCCCCCACTCCCTTCTGCAATGCCGTGTGGCTTTGAAGGTATTGAAATAAATAAATAAATAGATTCATAATCAGTGTCAAGCCGGACTCTATTATCGAGTCAAAGTGAGTGCCATGTGAAACAATAAACGTAGCTTCTTTTTTTATCTGTTTAGATGAACGGGCAAGGGCGCTCCTTCAGTGCCAACCCCAGAAGTAACGTGTACTTCGTGCGTCTGTACGCAATAAACGAGAGCGATCTCACAATAACTTCGATAGATTTTCGAACTGCGTTAGCACCAACTGGTTACCATGGATGTTTCCGTTTATTTCCACAAGGCATCAACATGAGCGATGCGTCGGTGTCGTCGTACGTCGACGTGTCTGCTCAAGACGGAGGTTGCACGGACGAAGAGACGTCGCTAAGCGCAGATGACTTGGTCGCTGACATCATCCTCAACGTCAACAAAAAAAATGTTCACTATTACTGGTAAGATACTCGGGATATTAACTGGCTGTATCGTCTTCTTTCTTTCTACATTTATTTTATTTGTCAGCAATCTCTCTCTCTTTTTTTTTTAATTCGTCGTATTCTTCTGCCGAGCCCCCAATAACCAACTAGAGCAGCTACTCAAGAGAACTTTATCGAGAGGCAGAAGAATAAAGTCAAAATAAAATATGGAGAATTCAAGAAACAGACGGGCACCAATCCTTCCACCAGTCTTTTTTTTTTTTTTTTGCCTATTTGTATTGAAGTTGCAATGCACCAATAGTTTAAGATCATTCCCCTTCGATAACTTAAGCTAACCTCTTCGTTTTCTTTTTTTTTTTCCTTTCTCCTAATATTTAATATTTTCCTGTCTTTCCTTGCATTTAAAAAATAATAGCAAGTAGAAAAAAAAAGAGAGTAACATAGGCTGCATCGATTCAAAAATTAACTTCATAAGTCTACATCATGGTAGCGGCTATGCTTCACTAAAAGACGCAACAAAGCCGTAGCAGAGGTTCATCAGTGGTCATTCAGAAGTTACCCGGAAACATTATTTCCCGTTCCTAGCTACGTTTCTGCTAACTTCATGTTTGGTGAGGAAAGCAGTCAGATACCACGCAAATAAGCTCTTGTTAAGCTAAACAAATATACCCTGAACAGATTCCATTTACGGCAATATGCGCCTATATAGAAAAACACCAAGAACATTTTGTGATAAGATGTGACGTTAATTAAAAACAAAAATGTGACCTGGTTAAAGACAAAATTCGCGGAAAGAGGGTTGTAAATGTAAGTTTGCTTTCTTGTAATACGTGCAAAAAGAGATTTTACTTTTTTTATTTAGGTATTGTGACTTTTATTTTTCGATCATTGGTTTGCTAAAAAAAAGTATTTGCTCCTTTGTATTTTTTATGGGGAACAGACGAAATGTCTCATTTACTTTGAGTCAAGCGATTAGTACCCAAAAAACGGCCTCAAGAACAAAAAAAAAAAAAAGCAGCTAAGAACTTTACAGTCTCATTAAGGTTAATCGCTAACGAGGTTCATTGTTCGGTCGCAAGATTCAAGTGCTTCTCATTTGTTCGCATTTTTTTAATCTATTTCCTCCGCCCCCAGCTTGAAGTTTAGAGGACGAAAAAGAAGAAAAAAGAAAGCAAGCTGCATACGTGCTTGACAAGAAAAGGGAATCTCCGCCTTCACCTTCGCGTTCGTGACCTAAAGTCACGGACAATTTAACAAAAGCTCGGAGCGCGGCGAATCCCGAGAGTTCATTTTATATCTCCGCAACCAATGAAATTGCCGGATTAGCCGATAAAAACACAAAAGAGCGAATCGAGAAGAGTGAACCTAATGCGGAGCACAAGCTTGTCTGCTTCTTGAGCAGGGCTTGCGATGACGTCAAAATGACGAGCTCTGATTGGCTCCGATTGGAAGGATAGTGGGTAGACCTCAAGGCAGCTAGCATTGAGGTGTATACCCATTATAACTCCGTGAGAGCCAATCAGATCTCGTCGTTCTGACGTCAGTGATATCCCTGTGCAAGGAGCAGACGAACTTAAGCTCCGTATAGGTGACGTCTTGTGTTTCGTAGGCTGTCAGTGACCCTCTTTCGTGGTGCCCTCGCTCCTCTCCGTGGCAGCGTTCCGTGGCAGGCGAGCGGCCTGGACCCGGAGTTCCCGGAGCACGGCGGCTACCTGGAGAAACTTGCCGAGTGCCTGCTGTCCAGCGTGAAACAGATGGTGGACGACGCCTCCCAACTCGACACGCCCGACTGGGATGAGCTCCCGCCCACCTTCAGGAAGGTGGTCCAGGTAGAGAGGAGGCTCCAGTCTCGTTTCATCCCCTCACTCATTAATCAACTACGCGAAAGTCGACGACGTCGCATTCTCTATGACCGCGTCGCGCGGTACTCACCTATTTCTTAGACTGGTGTGATGTTTCTTCGTTCAGGAAGTGGTCCGCGAGTCCCAGACGCACCTCTGCAACAGCAGACAGCTTCTGGGCGCACTGGGAGTGTCCCAGTCCCTGGACAGCGACTACGGGCCCCTGCTTCAGATCCAGCGCCTCATGTTGGCGGACGAGGAGCGGGCACGACACACGCCCATCATCGTTTGCGGCCGGGAAGGCTGCGGAAAGTCCACGCTTCTATCGCAGGTAGAGTGACGGTCGACGGCGCACGTCTAAAACAAGCTTATTGTTGCAGACGTGCTCTTCTCGGGGGCTTGAAACTTTGATTTTATGGGTAACTGGTTGAAAAGATAGGTCGGAAGTATAAAAAGAAAAAAAAACATAACTTGCAAACAAAAATTGCAAAATAAAGAAAACGGCAGTATAGGTAAGAAGAAACTAAATATGATTCATTTTTGTCTCGAAATGTCCAAGAACGTGTGCCGACAAGATTGTATGTTCCTAATAATATTACATAATTAAAAACACAAAGAATATTGGTGCACAGTCACTGAATAAGTTCGGCATCGGTTTTATTCATTTTTTTTTTTTTTTTTTTTTTGTAACGAGGCTGAGTACTATATCTTTTGTTTTCGGTTATAGTTTATCGGTAAGGAAAAATATATATAGATATATTTTGATATCTCGGAGGTGTTTAGTTTAGACACATAACTTTAAGTGTTTTAGCAAAATACAGAAGTAGTATTGCCTTCTTGCGAAACGTCGCCTACCATTCTGTACCAGAAAAAAATTTATTTCAGGCTCCTTACTCAACAATCTGACAAATACTGTATTCTACGTAACTCATCAAGTTGGTTGATTAAAAACAAAGTACTGCAGGGGTAAGAGTGTGTTCATTGTTTTTTTCTTCCTCCGCTGCCCAGGTGCTCATGTACTGCCCCGAGTGGCTGGGGAACGACGTGGTGCGCATCATACGTGGCGTGGGCCAGAGCCCCTTTTGCGCGTACACGGCCGAGATCCTGCGCAACCTGTGCCTCCACATCAGCATGGTGTTCGGCTTCGAGATCAGCCCGAAGCACCACAGCTTCGAGCTGAGCAAGCTGAGCATCTGGTTTCAAGACCTGCTCAAGCTGGTGGAGACCACGACGAGCGACCTGGTCATCGTCCTGGACGACTTGCACCAACTCAAGTGTCCGCCCAACAACCAGGCGGCCATCTTGGGTTGGCTACCGTGGAACCTACCGCTCAACGTGCACATCGTCTGCTCCGTGGCCGAGGAAGCCGAGGGTGTGCTTGGCCTGCTCAGGAGCCGGATATCAACGAGCGACAGCTACGTTCACATTCCGTCCTTGCAAGGCTCCGCGGCGGCGAGCATGCTTCAATCAAACCTCAAGGTATGACCTACTTTTAACTGATCTATGAGAGCCCGCCTTTGTCATTTGGTGACGACCACCACCGTGGTGACGACACACTGCCGGCCGGGTTGTCAGAAGGACCCTCGCGCTGCGCTGGAGTTGTTGCGTAAGGTTTTTCTTAGACTTAGTCGAGCGCACGTTGATATTCCCCTAAAAGACATGGTATCCCTATGTTTACTGTTTTACGGGAGCTGCCTTTTATTTTCCGGCAAGTTCGTCTATATGACTGCCCGCACGTTTAAAATGACTGTGGCAGTATCTAAAGTATGCACACGTGAAAACAAACTTTGACTGAATTTTTCTCTCAAAGGAAGCTTTGGTAACCCAGCGAAGGCTCGAGTTCTAGCTCACAGTCACAACTTTTCTGCAACGAAAATGTTTGAGCTGTTCAACTCTCTGGTTTATTGGCAAGTGGATAAGTTGAATCTGCCGTCCTAAACATATTTAAAGTAGCAAAATAGAAGACGAGTTCGGTAAATTGCATCCTTACCTTTAGTGTTGTACTTGGTGATAGTGTTTTTCGCAATCATGCAAGCAAACACTCGATGATGATAATGGTGATGATGGAAATGTTGTTTATTAAAATAATAAAAAATACAGTCCATTTTTTTACTGAAGTCATCCGAACCGAGGGGGGAAGGGAAGGGGGAGGGGGAGGGGTGACTATTTGTGCTGAGTGAGATTGGCCTTTCGCACGTAAGATAAGAGAGATATGGAATCTGTGTTTTAAATTTAACATTGCTGCTAAAACGTGAAGTGAAAAGCGAAATGTATCACGTTTGCCATATCTAATGGTGCATTTGGCTGGTTCATTAGCTTGTTCAAGTAGACCATCAGTCTTGTTCGTTTAAGCTAAAGAAATCGCTTTTATAAGGCCTGTTTTTCTCCGTTCATTCAAGGACCACAAGAGGACCCTGACAAAAAACCAGTGGGGTGTTGTGCGGGACCGCCTTGCCGGACAATCCGTGTGTCCTCTCTACGTGACCCTGCTCTCCCAGCAAGCCAAGCGCTGGTCGTCCTACGAGGCCCTAGACGGTGACATGCACGTGCCCGGAGACATCGGCACCTTCGTGAACCGGACCCTCGAGAAGAGTGAGAAGCGGTTCGGCTTCAGCCACGTCAAGAAGATCGCGTCGTACCTGACGTGCACGAGCTACGGCCTGCGTGAGCCGGAGATCGTCGAGTTGTTGTCGTGCTCCGAGTGCGAAGCATCTCAGAGGGAGTTCTTGCCCGTCAACTGGCTGTCCTTCAAGAGAGAGCTGGGTGAGTTGAGCAGTGTTCGCAGGTCTCTGCAATCTGACGCCCGTTTCTGGGTTGAGCGGCATCGGCCTAACCGCGCGCATTGCATTATGGGAATAATGCAACCAGGCATGACCGCGCGTTGCACCATGGGAAAATTTTCCTTCTAAATTTAGCGGGGGAATTTTCGCTAATTTTCCCGCTAAATGTTGCGCTAAATTTAGCGGGGAAATTTTTCTGCTATATTTAGTGTGAAAATATCACTGCTATATTAAGCAAAAATTGACGCCACGTGACCTCAGCACCAATTTGGTCTACCTTTTAAAATTGGCGGAAACTTTTCGCTAAATTTTTCCGCTAAACTTAGCTGGAAAAGTTAATCCTACATTTAGTGGTAAAATTTTTGCTAAGTTTCTCGCTATATTTAGCGGGAATAATTTCCCGCTAAATATAGCGGGGAAATTTTTCCTAACTTTGTCGGGAAATTTAGCGAAAATTTCCCGATAAGTGAAAGAGAAGCAGAAGAGGAGGAGGGGAGGAGGAGCATACCTTCCCCTCTGTACCCTTCTCTTCTCCTCCTCAAGAGATGCGCTCTAATTCGGCATTACAGATGATTGTAAACGTCTCTGATGTTTTTCCAGACTAATGCTCTAAATTGAGCCGGGTCAGAATATCTGAACATTTACTCTTAGTAAGCCCTGTTTACCCTTCGCGATATTTTACAACCGATAGGGAGAGGAGGGGGGGGGGCAATGTTATACACCATATGCTTACATCTCGTATGCTACGCGGCCTTTAAGCGCCCTTTCCTACCTCCGTTGCCCACACTTCGGTAACAACACATGGGCCACTGGCCATCCTGGGGGATGAACAATTTCCTGGGTTAAGTAGAGTGAACAACGTGGACAGATGTAGACGCTATTTATTTATATAGTTATTATAAATATATTTCAATTTAGTTTTTCTTTTCTTGTCATTGTGGATTTGTGTGGTCTGACTGTGGAGTCCACAAAAGTCAACCCTACACTGATTGTTGTGTGTTAGCTTTTGATTCTTTATAAATTATTTCAATTCTGCGTGCTATATGCAGCACGACACTTTTCAACAAGCCACGTGCCCGGGAGGTGGTAATAACTTCCTCGTATATTAGCCGCGTAACAAATGTACGACGAATACGTCCTCAAAGGGCAAGAATGAAAATGCCTGGGAGGTTGGGCGTCTCTCTAAACGCCCAAACCGCAGCACTCGCTCTCGTTGCCTTTTTTTTTTTTTCGAGCTGTGGCCGCGTTTGCATTCTCCAACGTCACGAGACACCTAAATATATTATCGAAGCTAGAAAGCTTTCGGCGGTGAAGAGACAACATAAAGAAATTGAGAGCCCTTCCACCCCATAAATAGGGAAGTCCAGCGAAGCTGGCGCTCTGAAGAGCTCGCAGCATTGCGCAATGTCACGGGGGGGGGGGGGGGGGGGGGGACGTTTTATTATAGCGCGGCTACGCCAATCACAGCGCAGGCTCTAGTGGTGGCTGCCGGAGAGCGTGCAATAATGCCCACTATCAGGGCGGAGAGAGACGCCGTGAGTGGAGAGGAGTATGCACGACTCTGAAAAGAGGCGGTGGCGGTGGAGAGGAATATAATGTGGGGCATACATTGTTGCGTTGGAAAATTGTTGGTCTACACTTTGTCTGTCGCCAGAGACGATCCGCCGAAACCTAGTCATAGACAGCTTCGCTGTAAAACTGACTGCCCTTCCCGTCATGTTAGTGCCTATCGATGAGGAAGAAAAAAATGCCACGCTTTAAAAATATTTTTTTTTGTGGCAGTACATGCAATTATTAAGGAATGAACCACACGTTTATGCAGTGCGCAAAATAAACTGCCCTCCTTTCATTTTATTTTCGCTTGTAACAAGTTATCGGTTCAATTTCGGGGAACGTTTATGGACTTCATTTGCAATCAGACAAATTGTCGTTTGATGGGGGTAATGAGAACCGAAAACTTCCCCGATCCACTGTGTACTCCATCGACCGGCGGCCTAATTGAAACTCTAACCGCTGAGACGAAACTCGGTGAGAGAGGTCTCGGAGCGCCCCAGCTTCTAATCACTGGCTCAGACCCTAGCGACCTCTCATCATGGAGGCTCGCTCATTCTCCCACTTTATCCACATCGGTGTTACCCGTCCTCGCCTTAAGTACAGCGCGAAAACAATTACCCTATAACAAGCGTACCGTACGAGTTTAGTGTTCTCGAGCAAATTCTTTCTCTCACAGAGGCGTACTTTCTACTGGGCTGATCTGCCTTGTAGCTGCTGAGGAATGAGACTTTGGCTCGGGATTGTTACAGTTGGCTGTTTAGTCTTCTTCCTTGTGGCGTCTTAATGCTGTATTTTGCCGCCTTCGATGCCAGTCGAGGACCTGTTGAGCGATGCGCTGAGATGACTTCGATATGATAAAAAACCAAGTTATACGATTGGCGTTTATGTTCAAGAAACTTCAGGATAAGAAGCGTGAAAGCACCGAGGAAGTCGCTTTACCTCGCCGTGGCGCCTTTCGCTTCGATTTTTCAGTTTCTTTTAAGTTGTGATTTTTGTGTTCAAATTGAAAAACATTTGGATCGTGGGTGCTTCTTATTAGCTAGCTTAAAAAAGAAACCGGGATGTTTAACGTGTCATTAATATACGGTTAGTTGGCTAGTTAACTAAGAAATGAAAATTGACTTTTTATCTGCTGATTCTATGGGGCATGCTGCAGTTGCATTGTTGACGGACGACGTTTATGATTAGAAGCTGCGCCCGTTTTAGCAGTCTACGAAATGCCCAATAAAAACAACAGATATCATGGTTTAGTAAAACGATTTCGAAACTGGACGGAGAAAGAGCGTCAAAATTACCCTCCATAATTATGCGCAAAAGACTGTCGTATCGGGTGCTTCATCGCTATCGCGGCAGCGCGACATCGGCGCATGTCCGCCGTGTATTACGAGTATGCGCATCATTGTGGTCGGCACTTTTTCTGTGTCCCGTACCGAGAAGAGGCAACATAAAAGCGAAAACCAACATTGCTAGAACCACTCAGTTGGGAAACTGCCATAGAGACTGCTTTGAACAAGTGGCACCGATCCGTACTCGAGAACCGAGCTAATGGCGATGACAACGCCGCCATTTCTCCCGCAGTGGCCATTTGGAGAACTGCACGTGACTTCTATTTGGGCTTTAATCTGCCATTTTGGCGCCGAAACAGATACTGTGGAAGGGGCTTCAGGGGTGCCACCCCCGTCTCCCAAGCGGACGCGCTGCGTATTACTACCGAGGTTAAGATGCGCCTAGGTCGGGACGCGCTACCTAAAATCATTTCTGAGGCATGGTTGTATAAAAACAATATTAATTCTACTGCAAAACCTTCCAAATTAAAGATTTTAGAAAACAACACGCGCCCTTCATTTTGCACAAAACTCCGATAAAGGTTTCTACAAAAAGAATTTTTTTCCGTTGGGTTTTACGCAAAAACATGTTTTCTAAAAGTTCAGGGTCACCACAGTAAAGACAAATGACAAGGATTGGCGCTGTTGTCGTATTTAGCTCGGTCTCAGTGGACGCCAGCCGACCACGTTTCATCGGTGAGTTTCCCAACTGGGAGTTCTAGTAACCTTGGCGAAAAATTATCGATGAGTAGCTCGAAGCTGGTTGGCATTTCGAAAAGAGTTTATATAGGTTTAGCCTGTAATCGTGACTGCCGTCAATACTTCAATTGCAACATGACCCCTTGAACCAATATAACGATGTAAATATGCACGTTTGGATCATTTGTCAACTTACGAGTCCAGACTTCCCATAGCGAATACTGAGCCTAATTGAAACTCAACCCATTAAAAAGTGCTTTAATTAACTACAAATACTGTGTACAACCTAAACAATATTGGCCTTACAATTAACCTTCAAGACGGTTAATATTTTGTTCACATGACAGGTAATTAAAGATTATGAAAACTAACTCACTGCGCGCGTTTTGTACGTAACTTCGAGTCCAGATGACAGTGGACGCGTTAAGTCGGCGCTCCTTTACTCCTACTCCGACGCTCCGAGCTTCATACTCCCATCGCAGCAACTAAACGGAGCATGGTGTACAGGAGCAGGGTACACCGAAACTATTGATGAGCCGCATGAGCCACTTCCGACCGCACGGTTGTGGCGAACCCGGCATCTCCTGAATACAGGTGGCAGAAAGTGAAATTATTTCGAGGATAAATTAGGCCCGCGTGGAGCGGGAAGTGTAAAGTAAAAGAGGCGGCGACGATATGAAGTTTCTACGAACGTCTTAATATTCCTGAAAGGTTTGAAGACTCACTTCGGAGCCAATATGTGGAAAGTTACCTTGGCCGATCTATTTATTGACCATGCCTATGCATTCTGTTCAAATTTAAATTAAAGATAACATTCTTGAAGCCGCTTGCCAACGCAGGAAACCCTCAAACTTGTCAGATATTTCGCCGTTCCGTCTTGCAGCGCGATACGGAACCCGTCAATGTGCCACGTATACCGGCACACCACCGTTCAATAGATAGCACGTTAATTCGCTTTCAGGCGAGATGCATGAACAAACATTTTACACAACGCTAACTAGCTACATGATGTTTGGGCTTTCCAATTAAAATATCTTTATTTGCTGGGATACCCTAATGAAAAAAGTCATTTGTATGAGAAATTTCTTGTGTTTAATAAACACATATGAATCATACAAGGTATATAAGAACATATAATTACCATATAAGAACTATATAAGATATATGAGAACCATATAAGAAACATATAAAAAAGCTTCTCACAAGTCTCCTATATGGCGCTTGTATTTTTTTTATTTATTTATTGATACTGCCGGCCGCTAATACGCAGCCAAGGCAGGAGATATACACAATAAAATGCACTTGAAAATAAAATACATAGGTGTGGTGGCGTTACAACTCGTAGAGGAATTAAGGGCCAACAGATGCCCTTGATAGGATTCTTCCCATGCAAAGAATGACTACACAAAAGGATCTTTTACAACTACACGTCACAAAAACACACGTAAACATAGAAACACAGTACAAACCTATAAAAAAAAAAAGAAATATCTAAAGCATGAGTAGTAGAAAAGCACGATCACAGACAACCAAACCAAATCATACGCATGTAATATCAAACAACATCCGATTCCTTTAACTTGGCTGTGAACGACAATACGCAATCTGTGGAGGCGATTTCTTGTGGGAGCAAGTTCCATTCATGAATCGTACGTGGAAAACAGGAATATTTGAAGCAGTCAGTTCTACACCTTATTTCAGTGAAAGATTTGCAGTGCTTGTTCCTTGTTGGCCTACTAGTATTGAAATGAAGGTAATTACCAAGTTGAAATTGTTGTTTAATAGGTTGAAAATGAACTTCAGTCGGCTAATTTTTCTACGTTTTCGTAAAGAAGAGACACCGCTCTGGACATAAAGTTCTGAGATTGATGTGTTTCTACCGTTCTCATACATCTTATACAACTCTTATAGAGTTCTTATATGGTTCTTATATGTTGTTATATAGTTTGTATGATTCATATGTGTTTATTGGACATGCAAATTTCTCATACAAATGAGAATTTTCAATAGGGTACGCATTCTAAAATGGGCAGCGGTTAGACTGTCTTCTCATCTCAGAAAACATTTTTGTTGCTGTTCTATCGACTAGCTATCGTTCGATAAATGAATTCGTTTTCATTCTAGATGCACGAACAAGCCTTTTCCGGAACGCCAATTGCTCTCTTGGCTTTCAAATCCAAACGCTACCTGCAGAATTCAGCAGTATTCAACTTCAAAAGGGCAGCGGTCCGATTTCACTCTTCGACTCGACAACGTTTCAATCGGCGCAGCCATATCTTGTTTGTGAACCTGACGTCACGGAGCGCGAAGAGGGTTCACTCGCGCTCCGAGAGGAACTCGGTGCACGAAGAGCGCTCTCGAGTGTCAATTTCCGGAGGCGCTCCTGTCTGTTTAGTGAACGCAGCGCCAAAGTCTCACGCTCCGGAGCAGGGACTGAACGCGCCCAGTATTACCTCGAACACTATTCGTATTATAGTTCATAACTGTGCTTTCGGTATAACTTCCCAATTGTGCACTTGACGTGTTCACTGTTAGATTGAATATAGCCTTTCGGCATCAGAGACTATAGCCTTCTCCGTCCCATACGGGCTATCAAATCCTCGTCGGAGCCCTAATTTTCCTCGTCTGAACGTAGCGCAACCATTAGGCCAGGGAAATCACGGTGTTAAGGCCGCATTACCGAGCTCGCTTTTCCAGTATGCGCAACTCCACGTCCTTTCTAATAACCACTATTTTACATGATGGGGAAAACAGCTCAGAAAGCACGAACTACGAAGAGGAACAAACACGACAGGACAGCATTGTCCTGTCGTGCTTGTTCCTCTTCGTAGTAGTCCGTAATTTCTGAGCTGTTTTCCCCATCATGTATAACGTCAACCAACTGGCCCAGTTCGCCACCTTATTTCCCACACTTTTGTTTTGAAGTTTTCCCGCCAGACTGCGTAAAATAATTCCACTGGAGGCAATGTACCACCAACTCTCCGCTTCCCGTATCGGTTGCCAAATGGCGTCATTTTATTCAAACTGGAGATTAATCTGTGAGCGTAGTTGCCGCTTCAAATTTCCACTGACAAAACCTCACGACTGCAGTCTTGTTTTGCTGCTCACAAGTTAGTGCACACGGTCCGTGAACGGCGCCACCCTGAACGCGAGTTCTGTCTAAAACGGAACCTCTACGCTTACGCATTTGATGCGGTCTGTGTGCAAACTCTTTATCGCGCGACTCACACCTTGTTGAGACCGAACGAACGCACAACGGGCTTCAAGGTTTACGACTTTCACCCGAAACCGGATTCCGGGAAGCGTGGAGTTCCAAGGCTCAATTACCTCTCTCTTGTGTGAAACGTTTCAAAGGGTGTTACACAAGATTCAACTTGGCAGTCGCTGCCCACGCGGTATTTCAGTAACGTATTACGTAACTTAATGAAGGTTTAACCTTTGCGTGTAGCAACCGAATGTTCTTGCGTCACGCTCCCCAAATCCTACTTTAAGCGTTTGATTGTTCCGGAGGGGTACAATGTGGACAGCGGAGCGTGAGATCAAGACACCCTCCGAGCACGGAGGCGCGTTCCAGACACTCATTTATTGACTTCGTCCGAACTATGGTCTATATATAATAAATTATTTTATACCATTAGGTCCTAACTACGTTCATTCATAACTAAAACGCTTTCGGGACCTTGGTTCACGTAACACACCTTATAAAAACCTCAATATTGAGCAAAACAGAAAAAAAAAGGAGACCACATGCCGAGTCTGAAACACAGCTACGGTTTATTTGCCAGCCACACAGGAAATAGCGTTCCCTCCTCGCCATTTGTTCAGAGCCTTATACCTCCAGCCAGAGCAGAGCCCAACTATCAATCCCCAATTATCCCTCCACTCCACTCATAGATGTGATGATGCTGCGTCACCCTTTTTCCTGTCTGGAGGTTTGCGAACGTTGTCTCGGCGGGATTTTGACTGAAAGAGAGAAGGGGTTGGGTGTGGGTTGTGAGCGGCCTTGGCAGTCGGCAGACGTCAGCTTTGCGGCTGGGTTTTGGGAGCGCAGGATTATCACGTCTTTGTGTCAGGTGGCGAGATGTGTGGGGATCGATCGTTGGGCTCCCTTCTGTCTGGAAGGCAGGTGGCGAGGAGGGAGGAAAGCTATTTAAGGTGTGACTGGCAAATAAAACTTAGCTGTGTTTGAGACTGTGCGTACGGTGTCCCCCTCCCCCCCCCCCTTCTTTTTTTTTTCCCTTGAGTCTCGAAGATTTTAAAGGTGAGTTGTCACCAGCCCTTCTGTTAATTAACATTCGATCATAACCCCCCCCCCCCTTTTTTTTCCGGTGCGTTATTCCGCAGCTTTGTAAAAGGCTCTGTTTTCACGACCATTTGAAGAATGGCGCTTTTGAACTCTCTCGTTCGTGTTTCCCACGAAGCTGCTCGAAACGCTTGAAATACGCTGTTTTTACAGCTTCTGGCCCAATCTCATTTCTTTCTTTTCTTTCCCCGTCGCCGTCTCGAACCCCAGGAGTGCTGTTGAGGGAGTCGTACGTGGACTGCCGGTCGTACTTGCAGTGGAGCCATCGCTGCATCGGTGCTTGCGTCCGCAAACGGTACCTGGCCGAACCCGAGGATGCGGTCGCTTGTCACACAGACCTGGCGAACGCGTTTCATCTGGGCTTTTTGATGCAGAAGGACGAAAAGGTAGGCTTGAGGCTGTTGGTATCAACTGCAGACCGCTTCTGCTTTGTCGACTTGGTGTGCGTCGGGGTGTGCGTCTCACAGCCTTTCAGTTCTCCAGTGTTTGAGACTCATTCCGAAACAATGCCCCGTTTTTATGTCTCATCAATTGTTGTTATCCTGGGCCGAAAAAAAACTGTAATGATGTTAAACAAAATGATTTGCCGATAAATAGCGTTGATTTGTGTCAAGCGCCCTCCGAATTTAAAAGGCCTTCAGCCTAATACGTTCATAAGACAAATTAGAAGTAGGAATTCTTTCTTATGAAATGGTTTTACAAAATGTATTGAAACGTTATTGGGGAAGTACCGCACAACTGTTAGCCACAAATGCAGTCAGTCCTCAATCACAAATTAGAAAGAAAAAAAAAAGTTTTTATATTTATTTATTTATTTACAATACCCTCAAGGCCGTGAGGCGTTAGAGAGGGGAGTAATGAAACTGTTCTCGCTTCGGTAGGAACTAATAAACCTTCACTAAGAATTGCCGTTTAAGATAGGAATCGTAAAGCAAACTTAATAATAACTTAATGGGGAGATTTATTTGTATACATTCGTTGTTTTTCCGCTTTTCCCCCTTTCGACACAATTTCGTTCTTCCTCGCGTTGCTGCCAGTCGGAAGCCATCGCCACACTTCTAACAATATTTATCACCTATTGATTTCGCATTATCTGTAATTATAGAGTCCCCAAACTCGAGAATCTTTTTCACGCTTTAACGCGCTCTCACTTCAATCCTGCAAAAGTAGGGTGGAGCCAACTACATTTGCGGCGTTGTCAGCGCCTTCGAGCAAAACACAAACAAAAACGGGTGTTCGTTTATTTTATTTCGCAATCATAAATTATTTGCGTATTAACTCCACTGGCCAGCGCGAGTTTCGAGCTCGGATGGGGTCTGAAACTCCGCGGACAGACTTTCATCGATCAAAGAATCTCACGATGTTCCCTAATTAATTTCTCTAATTACTCCCGAGCGCTTCTAAGATATCCGTCAAGAACAAACCGTGCGCTTAAAATAGATTGTTTTCCTAGCTTTGGGATCGAACGCCATTTTCAGTGCGACGCTCAAGCGGCGTGATGACCGCTCTATTATCGTACTTGAACGCCAGAACAAATACCGAGAGCGGATGGAAAATTCAACGTGCAAGTTTACCGATTTCGGATTGTTCGTTTACACTTCGTGGCTTCCGACCAACTAATGGCGACAGACCTGCAAACATACATTCAGAAAATAAAACGGTCTGTCTTGACCTTTCCCTTCTCTTTTGCGTTCATTGCTTTATGTTTTTATTTTAAATTTAAAACGTAATAAACAATATTTGTATGTTCGCTTTATATTTTTAGGCTTCGTTTATATCGTTGCCGCGTTGCGAAAGAGCACACAAGGCAAAGACAAATGTTAAAAACACTATAAGTGCGTAGAAGGAAACGTTGTAACGACAACATCGTGCTTGTAAAAAAAACGTAGAAAGCCGAGCGCACTGGATTTAGCGCAATACAGCAAGTTGGTGTTGTGAAACCCTTCTAATAGTGTATTCCTTGTTCTAAGGAAGTAACAAAAATAGCGTGGATCAGCGGAATAGCCAGGTTGAGCGGCGAATTTAGAAGTCTGACCCCCCCCCCCCCCCCTTAAATATGCTTTGACTAGCTCTCTTTTGCGCACACTATCAAAACATAGACATGACCATCTTGCGTGTCCTGGTTCGCACAGAAACAGGACTCGGTTTATAACATTTGTCCTTCAGAATGTCACTCCTTTCCCCGCAACTTCCAAAGAACGGCTCGTCTTCGATGATGAATTTGTCGCAAGCTCTGAGTCGCCCAGTTTTCCAGGGAGTGGAAAACAGTCTTTTGCTCGTGTCTTTTAACAAAGGTATATTTGAAGAAAAAAAAAAGTAAAACCCTACCAGAAAAGTAAAACACACCCGACCAAAATTTCTGGCCACGGCACAGACGTCGGTGTCTAATCCCTTCATGAATAGTCAGAAAGTTAAAAAGAGATATATACCTTTCTTCTTGTCTTTGCTTTTTAATAAAAAGTCGCGTATATCTTCTAAAACTACATTATTGATCTATAGCTTTGCAAGCGAAGGTTTAAGTATACCAAACTTGCCCAGTCATTTTTGTAGCGTAGCTTGATACAAAAAGCCACGGTTAAGAAAAAGCGCTTTGATTTCTGGAGCGTTTAGCTGCGATCGCGAGCGTACATAGTTTGGGACCAACACCTCAAGACAAATCTCTGCAAAAAAAGCCTTCGCTCTCGATACGCTTTCGAAATCAAAGCGAAATGCGTAGTATGTTGTAACACGTGGAATATATTCACATAATTACCAGCTCAGTTCCACAGCTGTCTCTTTATCTTCTACCATTCTTGGCCCTATCAGGAAGGTAATGTTCTCTCATTGCTGAAATTACGATGATCTATATTTAAGGGTATGCGCGATAAATTTCACGCTTAAGATCATTTACTTTTTTCGTAAAGAACATATTTCTAGGAGAGGTATCGCGAGGTATTCTGACGTCCTCGTTAATATTTTATTTTCAGTCGCTTCGTTTTTACTTTCACTTTTTTGTCACATAAAAATAACAATTAGTTATTTATTTAGTGCCATCGAACGTCCCTCGGCTGTCACTGGACACAACGTCTAAAACTCTCAGAAAAACGATAGCAAAGCACGAAGTGTGATGTTTGTTTCACAGATCAGCCCCAAACCTCGCCTGGTAAAGGACTAAAGGGCCAGAGCGGAACCATTACTATCCCTTAAGCTATCCGGCGTGTGCGCACCGGCGACAAGAAGCTCGTGATGACCGCACTGTGTCTTTCTTAAAGGGTCCCGCCTTCGACGATTCTAACAAATCTAAGCGGAAAGAAGATTGGTCAGATCTTTTACGAGAAGTGGACGAGCTCTGGAATCACTTGTTTCAAAGTGGTACGTCACTCTTTCCTTCTTGTTTTCTGCGCATTAATTGTTGTGTGCTCTCGGTGTCATGTGCGGAAATGTAGGAAACGGCCAATAAGCACCTGGTCGCGTCGTTTAACGCCTTGCTACGTTACCCGCCTTCAGTAGTATTCTAAGCTATGAAGGCGGAACCGTAGTAGACCGTTTTGTCTTCTACCCTTGTATCAGCCAAATGCGCAGACTACACAAAACTGGCTTCCGTACATAGACGCGGATTGTCTTTAAATACTAGGAGTGGCAAAATTCTTCATTTTTTATGATTTTTTTTTCGTACTGTCAGCCCTTTTTTCGGGCAGTTACAGGAGTGCAGAAGTGAAAAAATACATATGAACAAACAGCTAGAGTTTCGCAGCACTGCAATGTACATTATTGCGCAATTAAATAATGGACACTGTCTAAAACAAACTACTGATCGAGATATTTAGTAAAAGTTTGTTATTACTCCACGGCACAGTCGCAATTCAACGCAACACATTTAATATATTACCATTGGGAAGTCTGTCAAATAGCAGTATTGATTTACATTCGTAATACCGGGTGGGGGAACGAATTTGGTACTTCTGTTCTTGCCCATTTTCTGCATGCATGCGTGTGTAAGTGTTTGTGTGTGTGATTGTGTGTGCGTGCGTGCGTGTGCGTGCGTGTGTGTGTTTGTGCTTTTTTTTGTTGTTAACTTTCAACCACGGGGGAAGACACATACCTAGATTACGCCCTCTTCTAACTGCGAGAAAAAAAGACTGACAAAAAATGTTTAGAGCAAGCCCCGAACCGTTTCGACGTAGAAGGCACTGCGACGAAGGGGCCACAAATGTTTTCGATTCTAGCATGTATAAAGAAGGCCGCGGGTAGAACGCACATTGCCCTCTTGGCTGTCCCAAACACTCAATTTACTATCATGACTTGCTCTTTCCAGGCGACGTGAAACGGCTCAATCAAGACGCAGTGTGCAACTTTGAGTTTTTACTTTCTGCGGTTAGGGGGGCTTCAATAAGTTACGTCAGGAGCGTCCTTGAAATCGTACGTGCACAGGTGAGTTGTTCCAAAGCTTTAAGGTGTTAACTTCACGGATTTACGATGGTTCATCCTCGGATTTTTAAACTTTATATCTTTTTGAGCTTTGCATTAGGAGACATTGCTCACATTAATAAATTGTTAATTCAAATTGAAATCAATGATCAAGCAGTATGCATTAATAAACCAACCCTGCCCTTTTGTCGCCACTTTCCTTTTAGTTACTAGACTGGGAAATCGAGCTTCTGTACAATATGACCAAACAATCCGTCGACGTCCTTAGCCAAGACCCGCAACAACTTGCAACGGAGATCTTGAACTGGCTAAGACCCTATGCAGGTAAGTGCAACCTCGAAATCGGTCTTATCTGGCGAACCTAGAGTTTCATCCAGTTTTTTTCTTAATGCCTCGTTGCTAGATAAATGTACGTTCTATAGAAATACTATACACAAAAAAGGGCAGACCGTTATATCCAAACAGAAACTTATTTAGCGAGCGTTAAATTTACTAGGTACGCCGCGTACTTCGGAACAGCTCGAGGAAGATTAATCGTTTGGTGTCTCACCTGCGTAATATGCAAATTTAATTTGCGTCAATTTTGTTAGATATTACGGAACACGAGCAGAATAATTCAGCGTTAAAATTCACATACGTTCAACTCTCTTTTAAAGGATGTCTATTTTACCTCTGTGCAGTGTTCGCAGAGCGTCATTCATATGCCGTCTTCGTGCTTATACACTGAAAACTACGTGCTAACACTGAAAATAAACGGGCAGCTTTCACTCCTTTTTTTCTAAGCCGGTTTTTTTTTTTTTTTTTGTGGTTTAGAATAACGCGCAAGCAGTCGACGTGAAGCGCGATTTGGGCTTCGCGTGCACGGCTAGACACAATCTTCGTGGATTCGATTGAACTTCTTGAAGGGTCCAAATTAGTGTAACTATACACGCGGTCATTTCCGGCGTCATTGTTAACGCTTGAAAGTTCTAAGAAGTGTCTCATATTACGTGAAATGATTCCTGCATTGTTAATTCTGCTACGAAACTACTCTTGGAAAATGCGATCGACATTCCTCTTTCGTACGTGCTAAAAACACTGGGTCAAGAAGATCTCTTTGCACGGTTATATTTCAGACGGTAACTCTAAAGTGCTGGAGGACCTAGTGAGCCAAGCCAACTCTTGGTGCAACCAGGCGAAGACCCCGCTGCTTGTTCCACTCACGTCGTGGCTAAGCCTAACGCTGCCCCCTCAAGTCACTTCCATGAGTCTCCCGAGTCCACTAAAGCACCTGGTGGCCGTGCCCGACAGCCAGCACGTCTTCTGCACGACGGAGGCCGACAACCGGGTCATTTCCATGTACCACGTGACCTCCAAGAAGCTGGTGAGGCAACTTTCAGGTGAGCACGTGTTGCGACACGAGAAGTACTCAACCACTGTGGTTCTTGTCCACCGCGGTTGCAAAGACTCGCACATAGTGTCGAAAAGCCGCTACGAGAAGCTTTGGAGATGTTTTCTCTGAGGAAACAGGCGGCAAGCTACGAAAATGATCTCTGTGGACTGGAGAATGTACTTTCGCAGAAGCTTTACTGTTTGATTGAAACACAAACAATGTCACAGTCTCAGATGTTGACGCCCGTCAGTTGCGCAAGTCCCCGCTGTCACATATACGAAATCCAATACAGAACAAGTAAACGTCGTAGTAGATGGTCAACAACAGACGTTCCTGAAAGCTCTTGAGCACTTGTCTACGAGCCCCTTGCCTGAGCCCTCCGAAAGCGTTGCGTGCTCGATGGAGGCGGCGCCATCTGGATGAGGGCCTTCTTTTTTCTTCCCCGAGAACCTCTGGCGAAAGTTGCTGTGCCATCGAGATTTCCTTTGAATTTTCCTATCGGTGTAGTGGTCTCTTTGCGCTCTCGACGTATCGAATCGTATTTTTGTTATTCTCGTGGTTTATTTCTCTCGGGGAATAATATTACTTTCAAAATGCAGGTTAAAAAAAAAAAAAAAAAGAAAACATACGGGAGGTTTGGTAGAAATGGAATGCTGCTCTGCATCTAGGGGTCAGACATTGCTTTGTCAAAAACACAACTAAAGACATTTTTTTGGTGTCTCTTGAATTGTAGAAGATGATTTTATATATAAATCTCGCCCTCCTTCCTCGATATTTATATTATGCTGCCTATATTCATCTCGGTCATACGGAGTCTGGCTGCTTCCACAGTATTTGTTTGTTCTTTTTATATAGAGGCGTTTTATTGAGAGAAAAAAAATTGAGTATCTGAAATGCTCACTCAAATCAAAGTTTGTGTAAAAACTTAATTTCGCGTGTGTATTTTTTTTTTGTGAACAAATTAATTTCTGCAAAAACAAAATAAAGTTTTGTTTTTGTTTGAAACGGAATATTTTGCTTACCTACACGTACGTAATATTTGCATCCACTTTCTATGTCTTAATCCAATCCTGAAATGCCTGTTTGTAGTCATTGGCTCTACCTTTAGAATTTAATTTGAACTTCCATGTTATAACTACAACTCACAAGCTTGAACAATAGTAATGAAAATCTGTACTATGTTTCCGTCTAATATCTCGTCCCGCATGGAAAAGATACCCCCTTCCCTCCCACACACACACTAACAAAATATAACCTACACAAATTAAGAGTTTCAAACCCAGCTTAATTTATTTCTTTTCGTAAGTACTCTTGAGGGCATTGGATTCTTTTGTGTGTTTGTGGACTCTAATATGCAAACAATAAGATAGAACGGCAACAAATAGTTTCAAACCAGATAACTGCAATGTCAACCAACAGCTCTTCGATTAATGAATGGGTAGGACTGGATAATATAGGGCGAGATTTCGCAATAACCTAAGAGAGACCCTCCCGAGGCTGTGAACTCAGTTGGAGTCGATTAATGAGGTTATAGTTCTACTCACGTTAACGTGGAATAGACCAAAATCTAGAAGCACAAGCGCACTCTTGGTGATCTGGCATCAAAAAATGTACCCATCCTCCTCCCATGACAGACGCATCACCGTCGACGCGGGGTGTCGGTCTTTTCAACCTGTTTTGGCTCGGTGCTCAAAGGAGCTGTGCAACAATTCAGGGCTTTGCTTAAATTATTGTGGAAGTTGATGCCCGACACTTCTGAACTGAACTACGGAAAACAGATTTTGCTTGGATACCCTAGTTTTTATTTAAAAAAATGAGAAAGATACAGGTTTTTGCCGCCTCTCAACGCGTACGTCGTCTTCCGGGTCACGTGCGCAGTGACGTCATTTGAGTAGGCGCGGGGTTCCGGAAAAGTTCTCTCTTTAGAGCCATCAGTGAGCAGCGAGAACTCATGCGCTCGCAACCGCTTGTCCACGTGCTGGCGGGCGCCGCGCGAACAATTTTGGTGAAAGGAGGAAAGTCTCATCCGGGTCGGGCCATACCCGTCCTGCCCTCCCCCCTCCCCCATTGGCTTCTGGCGGCTGTTCGCGGTAGAAGAGAGAGTTGACATTTTATGGACGTAGGATAGATGGCGCCACTAAAACTCCGTATAATAAAAGTTTTGTCGATGATACCAGGTTTTTGACGCATTTATATATATGTTGGAATGACAAGATTTATAGAAAAGTTACCTTTTATCGAGCAGGCATTCGCACAACTTGCTATATTTCTGCAAGATTCCCCATTGACGTCACTCCACGTGTTTCTCATGGCCGCCGCTCGCGGCTGCAGGTCGGGGAATATTCTAAGTTTTGCCTCGCTATTACACGACGGAATAGCAACATTTCGATGCAAGGAGGTGTGTTTTCTGTCATTTGTGACAAGGTAAACAATATCAAAGGCAGAAGATGCCAATTCTTTTAACGTTAAAATAGTTGCAGAGCTCCTTTAAACTGATTGAAAGAAGAGCAATGATTGCTACATTGAGTGCATTGTAGAACGAAACCGAGCAGGCATTTCTGAGGGAATGGGGCACCAGAATCTACATCTGTCTTTTGATGAAAAAACGCCACCCGTCTAGCCCGTACGCCCACCTTCCTTCAAATCAGAAAAACAACCAATTGAGTCTATTCGCTATAAAAATAGATATAGTTGACGATCCATCAGTAAGATTGGAGTGCATTGAAGAAATTGACTTTGGGATTACGGCATGGGAATATCAGGCTCGATGTGCCAGCACAGGCCATTTTTATGTATATATATATTCATTATGTATTGACACCTCGACATTCGCTGGTCTATTTGTGTAGCTATCAGTCATTGGTCCTACGCCTGTTGTGTGAGAAACTAGAGGGCTAGGCAGTGGTTACAAAGAGGTCAGTATAGATTTGTGTAAATACGAAAGCCCCTCCAGGAAGAGGAAAGGAGTGTAATGGCGTAGGCTGTTATATATTATTCGGAACCGTGCGGTAGTTGAAGTTGTGCAAACACAGAATGGGAATGGCATTCCCCAAGCCTGAGCTACAGGGCACCCTTGTTCGCTCTCTCATTGACCCATGTGGGGTGTGAGCTGCGGAACTCGAAACATCACCTTGCTTTTGTGTGTGTCTTTATTATAAACTGGCACAAATAGAATTATTCCAGGTCTGGCGCTCCGTGGTTTCTAATAAAATGTATCTATATTTAAAAAGAAAAGAAGGTATGGATATCCGTACTGAAATCAAGAAAAAAAAAATCACTGAGACAAAAGACGCACATCGAAGGACAACGCAAGAGGGCCTTCTGTTGTTCCTCTTTGTTTGTCCTTCGTCTCTAGTTCTTTCGGCACGAGAGTGCGGACCGCCATACCCCTTTACGCTTATTTTATATCTTCATCGGTACTGTAACATTACAGCTGCTGATACAGTAACATAACAGCTATATAAGAACGAAGGTCATCTGGTTTAGGTTGCGAGTGACCCACTAAGCATTCGACTGATGTCCTGGAGCTCTGTCTACGACTTGAACCGGCCACCTAACACCTTAACACAGAGCTAGTGGGCGGCTTATCTTTTTAAATTCAAGCTACTTTAAATCGCTACTGTCACTGGCAACAATGTAAAAACTGTAATCTTGCTTCGATGTGAGCGAACGTGGGAAGGTAGCCATCCTTCAAAACTCTGCTCACTTCTGCGTTAATGCTGACACCTTCAGTGCCGGCGTATTTGCAGTGTCGTGTGTATTCACGCTATGTTCTAAAGTAGTGTAAGCCTGTCCGTCCTAATTTTGTTTCAGGCCACAAAGCAACCATCACGTGCCTACACATGTCCGCGTCGGGAAGGCACCTAGTCAGCGGCTCCGAAGACACCGATGTCCTCATATGGGATCCTGTTCTAGGAACCTTACAGAGGAGGCTCAGGTAAACTTCAATGACGAACAACTATGTTGCCATATAGTGTACATGTTTGTCATTTATTGAATATATTAAGTTCTGCGTTTTTCTTTTTCTTTGCGTTAAGCTTGAGATCGCAACACGGAACGAAGGGAAAGGTAATTTCTTAGTGACAAATCGAACAGCCGATGAAAATATTCTTGCCTAAAATTCAAGAGTGATCCGGATAGTTATCTTATACTACGCCTAGGGTCGAACTAAATGCAACCAGCTAGTATATTGCCCGATTCATGGCCGTATATGAAAAGTTTGTATGCTGCGTGAGTGCGTTCTTGCGCTACACGTCAGAAACGCGCCAAACGTTTATCAACTGCGACAATAAAATTGGAACTGTTCATTGCGAGTTTGGCTAATTGTACGTTTAACCTTCAAGCAAAAAAAAAAAAAAAAAAAAAAACACGCTCCGCGTGTTTTTGAAGTTCTCCCGGGACACCAGCGCAACCAGTAATCGATCCCACGAAACGAGATCATGATCAACACGCACCTTCCTATTTCCCCCCCTGCAGTCACCACGTGGCAGGCGTGCTCTGTGTGGCCACCACGCACTCGGAGGACTTTGTCCTGAGCGGCTCCGAGATCGGAGTGGTGGTCGTGGCCCGTCTGGACACGGGTCAGCTGGTGCAAAGACTCGAGAACCACCGGGGCGTCGTCAACGCGGTGGCAGTCAACAAGGGAGACGACATCTTCGCCACGGGTGAGCCACTCTGCCTCGTTGCCTGGACATTACGCGTTTAATACACGCCAGCAGGTACGATGAATAGCATGGTCAGCTGTAAAACTTTTAACAGGCGTTAGTTGTTATAAGTTATAACTGACTTTAATCGATTGCAACATAAGATCTTCAGGGGAGGTTTCGCCCCAAATCTGCGAAAAGGAATGGCGGCAATACGTTACTTAGAACGAAGGGATTATTTCCGATAGAAACGAACGGGGGACACGGGATGGGCTTCCTCCTCGCCCCCTCCACCTCCCCTCTCTCTTTCTTTCTCTCTCACTCTCTCTCTTTCTAATCCTCCTCTCCTTCCTTCTTTTCTCCTCTCTCATCCTCCTCCTCCTCGAGCGCAGTGTGACGCCACTTAAATCTGTACCCGAACCTCAATGCCCGTGGGCGCTTCAGAATGCGCCAGGGGAAAACATTTTTTTTTTTTTAACAATAACTGAATGAAATGTTCACAGTTTATAGTGCTTGATATGTTCATACATATGAAATTAATTTCGATATACCTTGTTTTCTAACGTCTAGACCCAATTCACGAGCCAAAAAAAAAAAAGAAAACAACATGGCGCACGCGTGGGGAATGATAACACATTTAAAACAGCCTAGTAATATAAACTAACTTGCTCCTTTTAAACCACTGGGTGCATTGAAGAAAAAAATGCGTGCGAGACTTCTATTTTAAAGAGGCTCGTTGCTGCTGCGCCAATAAACTCCTAATCATCTATTTTAAAGAATTTAGAAAACACAATATCGCCATTTTTCAAGGGCTAACAAATGTTTCTTTAAGTTTTCATAAACATAAAAATATACATTCTAATCAAACATTGATAGTTGCATTCTGCATATTCTAAACCACATGCATGTCAAACTTGGTTGTGATAGGACAGTGTCAAGAACAAATATTTTTCGGCGCAAACTGTGAAGATGCCCCATAATCACAAAAATAGAACAAAACGTTCCAATATTACCATACATGCGTAGCACTGCACTTTCGCTGCAAAAACATATATATATATATATATATATTTACATTAAAGTTGCAGAAAATTTCGCCGGAAAGGAGACGGCTAGGCCTTCTACTCAAAATAAATGTAATAGCAGGCAACGGTCAAAATTTGAAGAACCGCCCACACGAATATGGTTCATATATGCCTTTCTGGGTCGCGGGGAGTTCTGTAACTGATCATTTGACTAATTTTGCGATCATGGTCGTCCATTTTTATTTAACACATTGGATATGAAGATTCAAAGATAATTAAACACTCCAAAATACAGAACCGTGTTTTTCTTTTTTTTTCTTTTTTTTGGTAAGACATTGCCGTTTTTGACCCTTAAACACTAAAATGATGCTGTTTTGTTTTCTGCACGTTTTTTCGGACGATTGTGCTCTTGCAGTCGTTTTCTTTCTTTCGGATTAAAGACGGGATCAGATTTTATTCAACTGTATAAAAGTGTAGAATGACGTACGCATTAAGAAAATTCATTTCAGTATTTAGTCGTGGCCAAATATAGAGCCTAGGTAGACCTAACGAAGTTTAAATACTCGGAGACAACTATCTACTTCGATGCAGTGAAAGGTAGGGAAGCGACTGCCTAAGGTCCGAGTAAAGCTGGAAACGCCATTCAACAGTTCTCTTAAGAAATGTCAGATAAAGCCGTGCAAATACCGTGCAAATACAAGAACTCTAGCTCTTTACATGTCAACATGGGGTTCAAAGCTTATCCAAATATCTCACATCTCTACCCGCGTGTGACTGACTTTTTGGAAGCGACTGAAATGACTGCCATCGCTCTTTTTGACCCTAGCGTCCTCGGACTGCACGGTGTGCGTCTGGTGCCTGGAGGACTTCACGCTGCTGAACAGCATCGCTCTCCCATCTGCCATCGTGCGGCTGTGCATCTCCTCGGACAGCACGTTTCTGCTACTCGCCTGCGCGGACAACGTGGTGCGCGTCCGGTCCCTGACCACGGGCTCGGACGTGCACTGCCTGCAGGGCTACACGGGCCGGGTGAGCACACTGTCCTTTGCCAGGGACAACTGCCGCTGCGTCGTGGGCACTGGGGACGGCAAGGCCTTCGTCTTCGACATCCACTCCGCCCGCCTGGTTCAGACCCTGGTGGCGCATCAGGACTCCGCCGTTGTGGCCATCCAGGTGCGTGGAAAAAGAGTGAGGAGTAGACGGACACAAACTTACCAACAAGCATATTCCATTCCTTCCCCAGATGTAAGGGTATTGAAATGTCTCTGAACCGTGTTGCAGGCCCAAAGCAAGGACACATTTCTTATCACGGCTGCCGGGAACAAAATCGTCGTTTGGAACTTTTACCTGAAGAGGAGTGAGATGTGTCATCCGCAGCCAAAAGCCAAGAAGGTGGATGTACACAAGGATCCGGTCTCGTGCGTCGCTCTGTCGAGGGACGGCAGCATGGGTGTAACTGGTGAGCGTCGCTATCCTTCACGCGATTATAGCAACACTATAAAAAAAGGGTATCACTTTACACCCTTTTGTCCCATATAATTCACCCCAAAACTTCAGTTCGACTTACAGCGCACTATAGTCGAACAGACGGCCCAAAAGTTTTCAAGGGGCTTGACAACGGTGCGATACAACTTTTTAAATAACTAAAGTATGTATCAAAGACCACAGAAAGAAAACAGTCAGGTTTTGCAGTAGGGCCAAGAAAACCCCGATTATTTTTTTGCTGTAGTCAGTAACACGTACATTAGCTTGTTTAATAAGTTGTACCACATGGCTATCAAGCGAAGTTAGTACCGTCAGATCCACGTCAGTGCGCTGTACGCCGAACTGAAGTTTTGGGGTGTTTTATATGGGACAAAGGGTGTAAGAATACACCCTTTTTTTTAGAGTGCCGTAACGAAATAAATTCCCCCCCGGCATCTTTATGGAAGTATGAACTGATAGATATCCGGCTTATTTGCAAATCGATCTGGCTCCTGGAAAATAATGACAAAGTAACTCGTCGTGGCAAGAAGGTTGTACTCTCTTTGCTAAGTGGAGGTGGACACATTTAGCAAACAGCTCATATGTTATACTTTTCTGAGGGTGTGACAATGGATTGTAAAGCGATCAAGCAGCGAAAAGGTTACCTTTGTCCATCTCTTTTGTGTGGACGGTTAGCCTACATTGAAAATCCATGGTTTTAGCTTAGATAATAGGTGCTTAGATTGTTCTGAAGAAGCAACTGCCGTCCTTCTGACACAAAGGCGTTTTAAACGTTACAAGACGCTTCTGGAGCGTTTCGCAGACCGTTGTGGAAAATCATTAAAATGCCACTTGGCACTGCATTTGTGGTCAGCTCAATGAGTCAGATTTAGAAGTGTGGATGCGTTAGTTAATACAATTTGAAGTAAAAGTTTGACGGTACTCTTTTCCCACTAACAGTAGCACGCTTCAATTTTTTTATCTACACTGTGTTCAATAAAATTTAACCTTTGAGTGGTATGTGCCTTTAAGATAACAATATCTGAAAGAGGTTTAGCGTTTGAAGCTACCCAACAGTCATATGTATTACCGCAGTTTTGTTTTTAGATAATTGCGACGGCAAAATAACTCCGCTAATCCATTCTACGCGGCAACATATACCTTTTATATAAATCGGTGTTATTGTAAGCCGGCATGCATATTTATGTTGCCGCTGAACAGATGCTGAGAGCAAATTTTCAGGTAGGGCCTGTCAGGAGTAAAAGATTCGATGACTTTAAATGCACGAAATGCACACTACATATCGGAACTCCCTTAAGATCAACGATTGCGATGTTACGTGGTGGGTTACCTCCACAAAAAAGCAAAACTACGGCTGTCAAAAGAGAGTTCCGCGAAAACACAGCGACATGTACCGCCTCATCGATCTCCAGGCTCCCGGAACGGGCAGATCAAGGTGTGGCAGATGAGCATAGGAGAGCCTCACACCAACCTGGAAGGACACACTGCCGCCATCACCTGCCTTGTCTTTGCACCGAACGGGCTTTTCGTCGTGTCTGGCTCGGAGGACAACACCGTCCGAGTCTGGGGGCTCTCTCTAGGGGTCCTCGCGTGCACCTTCAAGGTAAGGACATCGAGCACGCACTCTCGCTTGTCAATAGTAACTGGTCACCTAAGTATAATCCTCGCACAAAAAGTCGCTGAGTTGTCAATCAAAAAAAAAAAAGGGGGGGGGGGGGGATTCTGTTGAACAGTGTATTTCTTTTTTTATTATTGCTAAATGCGATAGCATTCCTTTCGGCAGAAAGTTTCCGAGGAGAGCTTTCTTTCCGAAAATGTTTTATACGTATCACAAATTTATTTGGCCTTCTCTCCTTTTCTAATTATTCTCATTTCCATATCGCGCGCATGCATGGGTTGTGGATCACTTCGCGTGTGCATCCTCGGACTACGGCTGGTGTATTACACGCCTGACTCGGTGGATACGTGCGTGTTGCAATTGGCTCCGCTCTCTGATAGAAGTCAAACGTTCCGTGTAAGTGCTCTGGTCGTCTTTACAATGTCTCGTAATAAAACGAAGCGGAATGAAGAAACCATAGCTGAACTGAAGCGGTTACACAATAAGGCTTAGCGTGCTCGTCGTGTTAATGAGACATCGTAAAAAAAGAAAAGCAGCGCTCGACTATGGACAGTGAAGCAAGGCGGACTGGTTCTGCTTCGACTAGGGACCGAAGACGAGGGTCATCTCAATTAATCACTGGATATGGCTTTCGGAGTAGTAACACTTAAATGTGAAATCGTTTTGACGTACATTCTGCGGGGAAGCACCGCAAAAACGCACCTCCCCCACTATTTTTTTTTTTTTGTGCTACGGAAGGTATTTATCGTTACAAGACATGCGGTGTCCCCTGCTTAGATCGCTTTAATAAACAAATATTCGCAGCACATTAAGTACAGAAATATATAATTTAAGAAATTTCAGGGAGTGCCCCAACAACAACAAGAGGCCGATCCTCCTCCAACTATTTTTCGTAGCGGAATCGTGATAACAATCCTCAAAAAATCGACTTAAAACTAATAAAACCAAATGTTTCTATTTCTTTTCTTTTTTTTTTTCTTTTTTGCGTGATTGGATTTGTAACGTCGTCCTTTTCCAGGAGCACCAGAGCAAGCCCGTGAGTGTGTTCGTCACGTCGGACAGTCGGCGCATCCTGTCCGTGGACGCGCAAGGGGTCCATCGTCTCTGGACGGCGGACAACGCTACGCAACTCATCATGTGCACGAGGACTTGCAAACAAGTGATACTACACGCCAACATGGTGTTCAACGTCGGCGGGAAGAGCGACAACAGGTGCCCACGCCTCGTAGTGCTTAGCCGTGTTTGTCTGAAATGTGCAGTATTTACTCTTGTCATTTCTAGTAGCGCCGAAGAATGAGGATTTTGTTATTTTTTCCTATGAAGATACACGTAGTTATAATACCACAAAATTATCATGAAATATCATATTTTATTGCATTCTCAGACACGTCGGAATGAAGCATAATTTGTCATTGAAAGATAATTTATTTGTGTGAGGCATAGCACGCCACAAGGTTCGAACTGAATCGGCGGTGTCGACCTGCTCCAAATAAAAACTAGGTAAAATACAATAATTCGCGTAAGTTTATTTGACTTCGTCTAACCCGACAGAAGCGAGTAATCATCTCCGGTAACTTTCATTTAATTTGCCGATGTTTGGCAGGCTATAGATTATATTTGCCTTAAAAAAAAAGTATCGTAACACAAGAGCGGGGACTATAAGATTAGCCACAGCGTCTACTGTGTGCATTTCACTGCAAAGGTCACGCACGATTGCACAACAGGACATACTAACTAAATAAATGTTCTATAAACTCCCCTAAACTTTAATATTCCTGGCGCTATATATATATAAATATATGTGTGTGTGTGTGCGTGCGTGCGTGCGTGCGTGTGTGTGTGTGTGTCTGTGTGTGTGTGTGTGTGTGTGTGTGTGTGTGTGTGTGTGTGTGTGTGTGTGTGTGTGTGTGTGTGTGTGTGTGTGTGTGTGTGTGTGTGTGTGTAATTTGCAGTTGTACCGGGGAGAAAACTGTTCAATATACATAACAATGGTCTAAATTTCCCTTTCTAAAATGGTATTTGTCTGTTCGTATTTTATTTGTCTGCGTAATTTAAACATATTTTGAATTATCTGCGTTATTATTCTAATTGGAGCGTCACACACCTTGCAGCCTTAAATACTGGCCCGTCATGGATACGGAGAGCGAGAAAACAGTGAGCCACAGCGAAGCCATTCTGTGTTACACCGTCACGTACGACTGCCAAACCGTTGTGACTGGTTCACAAGACATGTCTCTCAAGGTCTGGGAGGTTGCAACAGCAAAACTAACACAGGTGAATACTTCATTTGAATTTGTTTCTTGTCCGTAGTGCTTACACTTTCACTGCGAGTTATGAGAAAAAAAAAAACCTACATTATAGTTGCCGTGTTTTTCTGAAAAGAAGAAAGTTGTATGCAGCGTTTTGGTTGTATCTGTATGGCAATATCGTGTAGCTACTTTAGAATAATGAGTAATACATTTTCTGCCAACATGTGTTGTTTAAAATTAATATAAAATGGGAGAATAGCTTTTTAAGATTTCTTCATTTCCTCTCATCAGATGCCCGCCTTGATCGATAATGTATCAATGATCGCGGCAGCCACGTACGAGCGTACATTTTTGTGGACTAGAAGAGTCGCTTTTATAAACTGCGTAGTAAATTGCGTTGATGAAAAACGTGAATTTATCAATTTCATGCATCTGAACATGTGATTGGCCACTTCCAATTAGTTGGAAAAGGCTAACTTGTGGATGATGAAACTCGAATGCGTCTTCCCATTCTTGCGCAGGTCCTCGTGGGTCACGAAGGTCCGGTCACCTGCGTGGCGGTGGCACCGTTCAGATCGTCCCTCGCAGTTTCTGGGTCTCAAGACTGCAATCTTATTGTCTGGGACATGACCACCGGAAGCGACAACTTCATTCTTCGTGGTCACACGGAGTCCATCAAGGCCACCAAGCTCACCCTGGACGGAACCGTTGCAGTCTCGTGTAGGTTCTGGTTTGGGCACGCCGCGGTTTCTCTCACTTTAACCCCTTGGGGCGGATGTCCGATTCCATTGGAAACTATACTCCGTCTCATTCCAACTCTTACCGTAGCCGACGCTATGTATACGACGGGATGGAGTGAACCACGGTGCTTGTCGTATTTGGGAGTTTGCCCTCCCCGCGTAAAACGATCGGGCACAGTAAATACGCCATTACAGTGCGCCTTTTTTTTTTTTTTTAGAGCGCAGCTTTTAGGCGTTTGTTTCCGGCTTGAGCGGCGTCGCCGTCACTGTCGGCGTAACCGTAACGCGTCGGCGTAACGCGTCGGCATCGCCGTCGCCGTCGGCGTATAGCCGTAAAATCGCATTCACACTGAGCTAAAGACACACGTTGCGGTCGGCGTCGACGCCGGCGTCGTTAAACACGAAGCAGACACACAGGGCCACCCGACGGCGGCGTCTTTTCGGGGAACCTCGCGTTTGTCGAGAGAGTACGGAATTTGTTTTATTCGTCTGCTTCGTACGATTCTTGTTGCCTTGCCTTCGCGACTGCATATGCGGTGGGAAACAACCGTCTTCACTGAATGGACAACGGCGTGGTTATGTATACATTTACACTCCGGTCATATGAAGCATTGGCCAAAGACTCGAGCGGGCAGCTTCAGAAGAAGCTCTTTTGCCGCGTTTTTTGTGCAAAGTACGGTGCTACGCCGGCGCGTCCATATACCTTGAACACTGCAAGCAGCTTGTGCGAGAGTGTTTTCGATGGAGAACTGTTCTATTCCGTAGCGGTGAGTGCACACAAAGACTATACACAACACATTGGGAGTGATCGCTCCCGCACAGTTGGAGGTCGGAACATGCCGCAAACTTCGGTGGCAGCTTTCGCGCAAACGATGAAGAGTGGTTAAAGGGCGCCGTACACGCACATAAAACACTGCTCACAGTCAGATATGTTACAATCGGCTTGCTTCTTTCCACGCTGAAATGCTTCCAGCCACGTTTGTCGAGTGCACGAATCCATAGGCCCCTCTCCCTTTTCGCTTTCATTGTGGGTCGAAAAGTAGCGAAAACAAGTCCTAACCGGAAAAGGGCGACACGTCACGTCCGGACGCTCGCTAATTGGCTCAAGCGCGCGCGTTGAGAGAAAAGTTGGGTTCCGAGGCGTCGTCTCTCTGCGTCGTCCTCCTCGGCGCGCGACTTTTTTCAATACAAAAATAAGCAAAAAAATTCACCCCACGACGCGTGTCTTTCCGCTGTGTGAATACGCTTTAACACGTCGACGTAACGCGTCGGCGTCGCCGTCGGCGTAATTACGCGGTGCATTGTGGGAAACGTCCCACAATGTACCTCGGTGACAAGCGCGTTGCATTATGGGACGTTTCCCATAATGCACTGCGCGGGAGGGAGGAGAGGGAGAAGGAGGAGGAGGATGGAGAATTAGGGCGGGGCAGGGAGAAGGAGAAGAGGGGGAGGAGGCTAGGAGCAGGGGAGGAGAAGATGAGGAGGGATGAGGTGACGCATACGGTCCCCTGCATACCCTCCCCTCCTCCTCCTAAAGAGCTGCGCTCTAATTCAGCTTTGCAGGGAGTTGTAAACGTCTCACTTTTTTCCAGGAGCGTGATTGCTCTAATCGGGCGATGACAAACGTTCAAAGAGGACAAGCGCCGTGGCGAAGCACTTTTGGCGTTGCCTGATTGACCCTATCAAATCGAATCGTGAACTGCGGTCGGCCTGAATGTAAAATACAGTATAGATCTCCCGAAACTTCGTTGAGAGTCTACCTTTCCTTGGAATTCGTGATCTGAAGTGTTATCTGTGGTCGATTACTACGCAAATGTTCGGTCAGCCGGTTAGTTTTATTTATTAATCAGATTACACTTCTTAACCGGGTAATCAGGTTACCAGTTGGGTTATCAACTCTGAAACACTCCTTTTAAGAAATTGAACGAAGTGCTTCAGTCTTTACTACCGATGCAGTTGCATAGACAAAGTAACAATTAGCGAAAAATAAAATGTAGATACGAATTCATACTCAATCACCCGATGCTTAGAAGTCGCTTTGACCTTTTCACAACTTGAAATGCTTTGTTTTCTTTTTCTTTTTCGTGTCCTATTCAGGTTCGGACGACAACACGCTGCAGCTGTGGAACACTCAGAATGGGCACCGCATCGCGAGTTTCGACCTGCATGCCACGATGCTGGTCATGACGACGTCGCTGAACACGAATCACCTAATCATACAACTGGCCAGCAGCACGTTCGTGCCCATGCTCAAGATGCTTAACAACCCTGGCAAAGGACTCATGCTGGACCTCCCTCCGGGCACCCCGGTCAGCGATGAAAGCAAGACCCTAGGTAAACAAGACCTGGTGACCCTTGCACCCCCTCCACCCCAAAAATATTCCTTCTCTCTGAAAAGGGCGTCCTTTGTTTACTCCAATAGAACAATCGACAGCGACAGAGTATCGCAAATATTGCGTGAGTTAGATAAGAATAATAGGGACTCGCAGACTCTTCTTGTGGGACGCACATTTCATCGCAGTTCTTTGACGAGCATATCCAGCGTACCTCACTTACTTACGTCAACGCTACCAGAGTCAGACTTCCCACGCATCTACTTTCCTCGCCACGCATTATTTACGGTTTCCTACCGGATAAGTCACGTACAAGAGTAACGCATGTACAACATGCTCAATATAAAAAAAATCACATTTTAAAACTCTACAGCTCTTGCCTCATACTTTTTTCTACTCCATATGTTCATACAGGCCACACAAATGCAACTTTTACGAGTACGAATACCATTCGTTCCAGGCCTGCACCTGCGAGGCATGATGCCGAAGCGAGTCCTCCTGCGGGGCAACCTGAAGCGGGAGCAGTCCTTCGACTCCTTCTACTGGGACCTGCGCGCTCAGTCGCCCAAGCACGAAACGGTCGACGACTTCCGCATGAAGCCCCTGTCCCCGTTCGGTTCCCGCGAGCACCTGCATTTGTCCGGAACTACACCCGTCTGGAACGGCGGCGTCAGCACGGGCCGTGGCCTCCGACCGGGCGGCCACCCGAGCGACCTGGGCCTCCAGCCCAAGCCCAAGCTGCCCAAGCACAAGATCCTCAAGAAGCAGCAAAGCATGTTCGCCTGCTTCCCCGAGTTCACGCAACAGGCGCCGCCCACGCTCATCTCTCCGGTCACGACTGCCAAGGACATCGTCGAGAAGAAAGAACTGTTGCTCGGCAAGCCCTCCCGCGTTGCGGCCGCCATGACGTTGCCCAGAACCAACAGCGTCGAAGAGGCTCCGGAAAAGGCCCAGGACGAGGGCGCCGTGGGGCCAGAGAACACGGTCACAGACTCTGCAGTCTGCGTCGTCATGTGAAACGCGGCCGAGGGACACTAGGATATGTTTGCAAGCAGTAGCGTATGGTCGGCGAACGCCCACAGTCCCCCAGACGTCGTCAGTGAGGGCACACTTTTTTCCAGTGGTGGCGTGAATTATCCATGTTTCCGGTAGCTATTCAAACGAACCTTACAAAAGCGGCTCGTTCGGGTAGAGCTAGCGAAGGTGCCAGAGTGAACTGTAGAGGTTTTCTTTGTTTGGTCGTTTTCAATTGGTGTTTTCTTTCATAGTTATTTTTCTAAGACGGCGTGTCAAACGCAAAAGGCGGTTAAAATTTTTACGCTTCGTAGCTGGGGCGGGTTGTTCTATAACGGCATCAGGGACGTCGGTCGAAATAGGTAACCTGCAGATGTACACCCGGGTGCATTTTGATGTGGGTTCGTTCGTCGTAGTAAAAGGACCGCGCTAGGAGGTTTAGGGCGGCGTGGATGGAGATTCCACGTAGGCTGTCACCGAACCTTTCTTTGGATACCCCAGTGTTGATGTGGCGTTGTTGTGAGCACCTGATTTTGCACAGCCATGCACGGGTGAGTTGGCGCACCGTCACAATGCACACCTCATTCACCGTACTGCACCGTGTACGTAGTGTCGGCAGCTCGACCGCACACGCCTCCTGTGACGAACACAGGACATTTTCTGTTAAATATCAAAGCACGACTGTAGAAAAAGAAAACCTTTTTGCTTCCTCTGTACTGCATCGAGGAAAACGGTCGCATTTACGTAGACGGCAGGGTGTGACAATGGTATGCTCCGTTGCCTTCCTTGTTCCTGTATACCACTTTAATACATGAAACAAAAAAACAAGCGATGCAATTTTGTATGTCTAAGGCAGCTTATCTTGTAGACTAATGACTGGACGGGAATCTCAACTCTTTAGCGGCAGATGGTAAAGGACATAATTAGGTGCACACACAGTATTTCTATTTCCCACGCTTCCATCTCTAGTCACAATGTTTGCTCAATGTCAGTGACGTCGAAGGTGTAACCCCTCTTGAAAGCAAATTCATCATTGTGTGGCCCAAAATTATTTTTTGTACCATACCCCTGTATATGCTGTATATAACGAGTATTACGTTAGGTACTGCCTTTAGGCTGACCCTTGGTTGCGTTACCCACACATATGCGATCATCTGTGACCGCAGACACCAAATCCAGAGCTGTGACCGACATGCCATTACGGCACCCACAAATGTCCAGCGGTTGACCGGTCGGAAGCAATCTGAGGGACGTGACCGACACACCGAGGGAGATTAGACCATGCCGTTTCGCAAAATTCTTCTCAAAATGCATTTTCTGCAAGGCAGCCACCTTCTCCAGCTTAAGTTTTGATCAATTTGTGTGTGTGTGATCAATTTATATAATGCAGGCTAGTGTAAGAAACGGCACAATCCAATGGGGGATTTGACGGCTGGGCACGTTTCCACCAAGCTATTCACAACCTCTGTGATCCGTTAACTGCCATCATATTATTAGCTTAGACGTCAGAATTGCTTGCCTGCTGACACATTATTACGTGACACAAGATCTTCTTTTCAACTACGAAAATAAAAATCAGAACCTGAGTTTTATTGAGGAGCCCGATTTGTTGTCTGCGTGTGAAGCCACCTGTGTATGCTAAAATGCCTGTCTTTTTTTTTTTTTTATTGTTTTCTTTTTTTTTGTTTTGTTTTGTTTTTGCTTTTTCCCCTTTATCTGAAGAAGATTTTCGTTTTAAAACGACATAGACTGCAGCTCGAAATTGAACCAGATCAGTAGAATTGCCTAACCTTAACTTTATTTCTAACTAAAGCACTTTGAGTTCAGATTTTCCTATAAGAAGGCATACTTACAATTGGGAGCGACATTCAACGTTTCAGATTTGCTCACTAACCAGGAACGGAACATGAAAAACAAACATACTTGGTTTAAAATTACTCTTTCTGTGAGAAGATCAAAACCGGGGTTTCTTTATTAAATATTTTCTTATCGACAGACATATCCTTTTAAGCGCATTTTGTTATATTCAAAATTGGAATGCCTAATTCAACGCAACCCAAGCCACACAGATAGACATTCCAGTTGTAATAAATGTGTAAGTTTAAAATCCTTGAGCCTAACTATTTTTCTGATATTTGATCAAATAAATATAAAATATAATTACTAAAAAAATGTATGTTAAACTATTATATCTAAAGAAATGTGTTAATATCCAGTATCCTTTTCAAAGGAGTATTGCTGGAAAGAAGATGATGTACATTCAAATGATCCGCAAATATTATAGGTAGGTTTTTCTAAAACATACGAACAATGAATGTAATGTTGATGCTTGACCGTGTTGGTGTCTAAATTATGCTAATAAAAGAGGGACATGGAAAACCAACAGACGCCACAGGCGGTTGTCTTCCATGTCCCTTTTTCTTTAGCGTAATAATGAATACAATGTTTTAGTTTCGCCCTAACGTAATGTTCCATGCTTTTTTCGATGTTATAACTCCAACACAGCTATATTTAATTTACACTTATCACCGTACAGATTCCTAATTAGAAACATAACTAATAATTTAAAGACCTGAATAATATTTTTTGTCTTCGGTATATATACATATTCGTAAAATCTGAATTTTATTGAAATGTCAAAAGTTGACCAAATTATTGCAGCCCGAACGTCCCATTGAATCCAAGTTGCGCTACTGTTAAAAGTGTATGCACCCATTTTCCAACTACCAGCACCTCTGGCTTACCATGGCACTCAGTACAACACGTAACATCAAGAACTAACGTTCAAGTTTAATTTATCATCAACTACGATGAACGGTAGTAAAAAAAATAGTTTCCTGGTCTTGGCTGTGAACCCAACCGAATCACCCAAATATTCATTCAACTCAATTTAAAGGCATACGCTCCCCTGTTCATTTGAACTGAGTTTCACTTTCAACAATAGTACCTATTGTATATGTGGATCAATTGTTTCTTGTGTGTGCACAGCTCACGTATGAATTGTGTGTTTTGTAAAGTTATGCCCAATAATCTTTCGAGCTGTCCCGCTATTCCCGCGTCATCATTCCCGGTTGATGGAAGTATTCATGTCATAGGATAAAAAATAGAAGGCTCTAGCACTTCTGTATCGACGAGAAGACTAGCCAGTGGCTGAAGCAGGCAAACGCCCAAAGCATCGTAGTTTGTTTACATTATGTAGTCGTGAACAAACCGAACTGTCGAATCACTTTCCACCCAAATGCACAATGTTAATGTTACCTCTCACGCCACAGAAAAAAAAAAGATGTAAAACGTTATAAAAAACTTGGAGTGAAAACCCTCTCGATAGTGAAAATCCTTCGTCCATATTTTCATTACAATGACTTACTATTATTACACATACGTGTTTTTTTTGGCAGTGAGGCTTAAAAATGTAAAATAACACATATAACAGGGATTTCTACTTTTAATATTATTCCGTCGTTAGATAAAGATGATCCTATTAGCGGTTACGTATCCGAAGAAAAAATTGTTCTTAGTAAAGTTCATGTAATTATTTTGTGTGCATTGATAACAAAATCGTCTAGATTACTGACTTTAAACTGGTATGCATGATGACAAAAATAACACACCTAGATGTCAATGCACACAATACCTCAATTAGCGTTGCACAACATGTCAAGGATTGTGCACCATTGGAATTAAGACCGGGCTAACCCAATGAAACTTTCAGGAGGCATAACTTATGTTTATCTGTAGCGAAGCACCATAGTAACGTAATGTCAAGTACAAAAAACAACCCATTGTGATTCTTAGATGAACGTCTGCGAAGCGAATAATCTAAGCTTGTTCGCTAATTTCACACTTGTTAATGAGTTATGTTCGCTCGATTACCACATCAATGTAGGGGTAATTTACAATTGTGACATTCCTTGCTTCGAAAGTAATGTTAAGCCGCTGAAAAATAATCACTAAGAGGCTACTGCGATTATTGTTGTTGCATGTGCATATTCCAAAGTATCACTAAAACACTCGTCACAAAGGCAGTAAAAAAAAAATTCGTATGACAGCTGCCGCACTAAAATGAAGTCATTTCGGGTGGTCACTAACTTAACATAACTTGAAAGGATCCTTAGAACAAAACTATTCAAATTGATTAGTTTATCTCTGTTGACTGGTCATTAGGGCGACAAAGTTGATTATGAAGTGATTAAAAACAAGAGCCGCAGAGTTCAGACTTCTGCGCTCCAACATGTTGATTATATATACACAAAAAATAGGCATACAACACGGGAATTTCTACTTATGTTCCAGTCGCTACAATAAAGGTTCCAAAGAACACCGTGTGATGCAGAATACTGTCTATGCAATGTTTGTTACAGCGTTTCAAAATCCCCTCTCTGAATAATCACAAGGGGATATTGTTCCGCTTAACATTCTCTTAGAGTGCTTGTTAAGCATAACCTTTTGAAGATGGAGATTTATCGAGGTCGTTTGTACATGTGCCGGATATCTCAGCAATAGAGTGCAGGAGAGTTGGAAGTACGTTTTTTCAACATCTCGCGACAATGGAAAAAAAAAAAAAAAAAAAACATCGCACAGTGATGCGAATTATGTTGGCAGTTAATATTTTTTGTTTGCTGGTGTTCTTGGACGCTTCTCTTTGTTTCAACATGATTACACAATTGCTTCTTCACTGAGCATCTTTAGACTAAAAGGTGTGTGTCCCTACATTGAAGATATTGCACAGACCATTTTAGATCCCTTTCCACGCTCTGTAAAATAGTAGGTTATGTGTGTTCAAACATCAATACAAGATTAAAAGTTCTCCACCTTTGTGTAAATTTTTCCCTTGGTATTGATTAATAAAAACAAATTTATAGAATGCCCGGCTTGTTGCTTGATTATGAATTCTGTGACTTTTATTGCTGGTCATCACTCATTTTCACTTGAAGATCTGGTAGATAAATATTATAGTTGTTTATATTTTCAGTTGTGTTTTTTGTGTAGGCTTATACAGCCTGAAGTTAGTCTTCCACTACGGGTGACTTGTCTCTCTGCTTTAGATGAGAATTTTAGCCAGTCCAGTACAAACCACTAGCCTGGGGTCTTTAACGTGCACCACGGAGTAGTGATACACAACCGCACGACGGTACGGCGCTCATCCAAATCTGAATGGACAGGGGTGTGGATTGAACTATGTTTTCAAGACATTGCGTGTACCAATAAAACTGAAAAGTAATTTTGTAAATTGCATACATTAAATTTACATTTAAAGCGAATCTAACTTCATATCAACCGTCTTACTTAAATTTGTAATAAAAATAAAACGAAGCAATAATTATTAGACTATGATAAAAACGTCAAGACGACTGACATGCATCAATAATTTATAGACACAAAAAAATACTACTCACAGTGATCTTCTTAGAATTAAGTTAAATACCAGAGGGCACTTACCAACACCATTCAGCTGCCTAATACATGTCTACTCAGACCGAACAAATTGTTATAATTGTCTAGAAAAATAAGGGTACATGTATCCACGCTAGCAGAATACATGCCGTCTTGTTTCTCTAAGACAGGGTTCTCAAACACGCGGCCCGCGGGCCGCATGCGGCCCGCAGGGCAACCGGCTCCGAGCCCCGGTTTCTATGCCTCGAGTGCTAGAAATGACCGGCGTCATAGTAATATCATCTCGTCGATTTATTTTCGCTCGAAAGGTAGCTCTGCTCTTTTAACATATTAATATATTTTATACTTAGATGTGTTCGTTCGCCCCTTGTTTCGCTTTATTTCTTGTTCCCAGCTTTTTGTAATGCACAAAAAATTCCACTACTGGTCTGCCAGCGCGAGCTATTCGTTGAAGGATGCATGTCGGGCTGGGCAAACTCTAGCAGGGGCAAGTGCCAAAGATAAAGCTATAAGTTCGGAATACTCGCCTTCAAAAAAATATCCCCATTAGAAAACGAGTATTTGTTCAGAGTGGTATAATAGAGATTGTGAGCAATGCAAGAACTGTCAAATTAACTGATTGTTTCTTAAAGACATGTCGAGCTGGGAAGGACAGACTAGTAAAACATATAAAATAGCGCAAAAACACAAGGACAAGAAGTATACAGGACAGGCGCTAATCTTGTCCTTGTCTTTTTTGCGCTATTTTATATGTTTTACTATGGTGAACCAACTAGCCCAGGGGTGGCCAGGCTGACCCGGCCTATGAGCCGCAAACAAAACCAAGAAACTTGTAAGAGCCGCAAGGGGCGGGGGGGGGGGGGGGGGGGGGGGGACGATAGGGAACATCCGTTAACTAAAGGGGACAAGTATCACCGGCGAGTGACAAAGGCCGCGAGACTGAACATTTCCTCGACCCCAAGCCAAAGTGCATACATGGTTTGACAGTCCATGTCCTTGATGGCTTTCCCCCTAGGGTTCGGCAAGCTCTCTCGAACAATGAAAGAAACAGGATCTGTGGCAACATTCGAGTGAAAATCGGTTCGACTGTACATACGGGGGCACAAGGCTGCCAAACCGCAAGCTGTTCTTTATTCTGAAATCCTTGGGAAACGCAGAAAGGGCGGAAGGGGAGGGGGGGGGGGGGGGGTCCTTTTACGAGGGATCCGCGAGCCGCACTTGGACCAGCGAAGAGCCGCATGCGGCTCGCGAGCCGCGGTTTGGCCACCCCTGAACTAGCCCAACAACGTGCCCTACTGAACGACAGATTACTTACTGTCTTGTTCTATTAAAAGTGCCAGCACGTTGGCGGGGCGGTACCATTTTAATTCTTGTTATCACATCAGGGCAGCGCTTAAAGTAGCCTTATAAACAAATAAAATTTAAAGATGTCACTGGCAAAAGTGTGAGTTTACAAAAGGCATAAGTCAGTAGGTCACTTCTAATTAAAATCCTCCACCCCCCCCCCCCCCCCCCCGCCCCCGTCTTAGCTTGGCCCTCGACCTTTCCGGTGTGGGCTATCTGGTCCCCACACTCAAATACGTTTGAGACCACTGCTCTAAGAGGCCTTATTTTTATCCATTCGCTACTGTTCCTACCACAGCAACGGGAACATGACGATTGGCCCACCGTAACCTTTCCAAAAGGCATTTACTCAAGGTCCTGTTCGTATGTGTTTTCATACCCGATAAATGGCTTATTCAAGAGCCAACCTTTCCTCCATGCAGTTAATGCAGTTAGGTCAATCACAAAACAAGTAGTGAATGACGCGTCGTTTCTGACCAACTATCTCTTAGTACACATGTGGTTAACTGCCTCCAAATCTATATTAAGAACCCTAGCCTATGTATATGCATATACGTATATACGGCGTGTTTGAATTTATTCCAAAACATTATTACAAAAATTCCATAAAAGATAAACTAATACGGTTTGTGCAGGTGAGTTATACGGCCAGGGAGACATAATATAATCTACTATTCTTTATGATAAGTCGCATAATGAGCAAACATTTCTTAACTTACTTTTTAGTTATGAAAAATAAACGTATAGTTTCAATTAGAAACTTGCTGAGCATCATCGAAAACCACTATATCAGATTTTATAACTACTTGAAGCGCGTGTGAAACGCGAGGACGACGCAGAGTGACCAGTCGTGCAGCTGGCTCAAAGCTAGCGGTGGCGAAACGCGGATGATATTCTGATCACCCGCGTTTCCGCACCGCTAGCTTTGCGCTTGCTGCACTGGTGGTATCTTTGGTAAAATGTCGAGTTTCCCACATGCTTAAAGTGGTTCTCAATTTTACTAATTTTGCTGTTTTTGATGATGTTTGGCAACTTTCTAATTGGAAGCATATGTTTAATTTTACTACTTAATATGGTTAACGAATTTTAGTTGATTACTCAACAAACTGTGGCGGTTATTCCTTCTTATAACATCCGCTCAACTAACGAAACACCTAGCAAAGACGGCCTTCAGCTAGCAGTTTTCATTCTTTTTTTTTTTTATTATTCTGTTTTCATCAAAAATTATTACCCGATGTACAGGGCGAAGGCTTCTTTACCGCTACCTGAATGTAGTTTTTACTATACGCGTATGTTTCTTGAGCTCGGCGGACACTCGAGGGGCGAAGGGCCGTCACAGTCTGGTGAGTAATTACGAAAATTCGTTAATTAACTCTTTAATTATTGGTTTTATGGGCCATGTTGCGATTGTAATCTTGAAGACAACCGCCCTGAAAAACTAAACCAACTTGCACATTTAAAAAAAAAAAAAAAAGCGAACTGGTTTAGGGATATCCGTCGACAGTTTCTCCCTTTTTTAGTCTCAGATTGCGAAACTGAAAGTTCCAAGTGTGCCGGAAGCGCTGACCACGTGACGCTCGTAGCGGTGATGGTTTCGCGACCTACAAATCGTCATGATGCCACATCTTTCCCACCGATAAACGATCGTGAGTGAAGCTCCGAGGGTAATAACGCATTATAAGCGAGAGCGCTAAGGACTGTCCCAGCGAGTTTGCATACCACGACCCGCACCGTGACAGACGCAGTGCAGATATGAGATGGTGATTATTTGTACGTCACGAAACCGTCACTTCTACGAGCGTCACGTGGTCAGCACCTCCGGTGCACTTGGAGCTTTCAGTTTCGGAATCGGAGGATAAAAAGGGGAGAGATTGTCAACGAATATCTGCTAACCAGTTTTTTTATTATTATTATCTTATTGAGGGGGGGGGGGGTGCAAGTTGGTATAGCCTTCCAAGGCGGCTGTCTTCAAAATTGCAATTGCAACATGGCCCATAAAACCAATAATTAAAAAAATTAATTTACGAATGTTATTTAATTACTCACAAGACTGTGACGGCGTGTTCGGCCTTCGAATGTCCGCCGAGATCAAGAAACACATGGTGAAGACAGTAATCACCATAGCAGTAAAATTGCCTTTTTTAAAGATCTGTTTCGAATAAAAAATATCACCCTGTGTGTTGTTGTCCCTTGTTGGAACCTAGTTGAAGTATCACCTACCATTTCGTGTAGCGCGGTAAAAAGAAAAAAAAAAAAAAGAGAGTTTTATTTTTTGCATGCATTACACAGAATGTCAACGACTGGACCCTACCCAAGTAGTATCACGATTCAGAAGACCCGCCAAAGCTTAGGCATGACGAAAATTCAGATCTTTAATTAGATATTTGCAGTCCATTGTTGTCCAGGCAATGGTATGCACGTTCCATGCTTGCACCTCTTATACGTATAGATATAGTTGAAAGGCCACCGCACCCGCGGCATTTCGAGAGTTGAGTTTGACTGCCATGTCTGGGCGAGTGGCTCTACAGCTCAAATAATTGTGCACTCGTACGCTACAACTTTCAGTGAAAAGAAAACTGTTTTGTAGGCAAGTTACTGATTGCAAACAGTTTATTTCACTGCAAAAACGATGGACGGTGCTGGATGATAGAAGACGTTAATTGCGCGCCGTGCCAGCAAACAAATATGACATTGTTTTCGCTGACAAGACCAGGTACTTTCTGGAAGCCAGTGGTGGTGACAGCGTGAGTGCGTTGGCGCGAGCATTCTACCGGCAGTAGTCGCCTCTCTTTGTTGCGTAATTCGCCCTCCAGAAAACAACCTTGTTCAAAATGTCCCTCCGGGTGACAGACAGCCTGGCATCTTTTCAGCTGTCCAGCCCAGGATTTCCTGAGATTTAGGAAAGAGATCCGACCGTCATGCCCCTAGTGGCTAAATTGAGAACTACACTGATGGGGACAACATCAACACATATTATTTGTATCTCTTTTGACACAGCACTCGGCCCACGTAGCCGAACGTTGCGTAAGTGTTCGGCTGGGGTTCGTGTTCAATCTGTGAAGCCCAACGCAGACGTAACAAAAACGCTGGGCTCGAGTCCTGCCCAATCCTGGCCCCGGGCTCGA